AGAAGGCAAGATGCCAATGTAGCGCTTGCAGTGCTCCGAGGGGATGCTTACGACCCCGGGCAGGAATTAAACGAGATGCAAAGTGCGGCGGATGCGAGTACCGGTAAACAACCGAGCATCTTAGACATGATGAAATCTCCAGTCTCTAGAAAAGCTATGCTAGCATCCTTTGGCATGATGTTTTTCCAACAAGCGTCTGGTATAAACGCTGTCATCTTTTATACTATGATGATCTTCAAAGCGTCTGGAAGCTCGTTGGCGCCGGAAGTGGCCTCCATCATCGTGGCCTTCGTACAGGTAGAAAAATTGACTATTCTTCGAAAGAAACATTTCTCGTTTCTTTCCTCTGCGATCGTTCCGTTTCAACATGTTGAATATTCTTCGGCACAGTTTATAATGTCAGTTGTCGCGGCGGCGATTGTGGATCGAGCTGGAAGGAAGCCGCTGCTCATGATTTCCAGCGGTGTTATGTCAGCCAGTCTAATCGCTCTAGGATACTACTTCAGGCAGAAAGACAGCGGAAGTGACGTCAGCTCGCTTGGCTGGTTGCCATTGACTTCCTTGATCGTATTCATGGTAGCATTTTCCATCGGGTAAGTATACAGTGACACTTGTTTATCGTGGATTCATAATTAATTAAACGATCTCTTGTTTAGATTGGGACCAGTTCCTTGGATGTTAACAGGCGAGCTGTTCCCAACGGAAACCAAAGGAGTTGCATCCAGTGCTGCGGTTATGTTGAACTGGTTCATGGTGTTCTTGGTCACGAAAACATTCCCATCGATGAACGAAGAATTGGGCACTGACAAGACGTTCTGGATTTTCGCAGGCATCATGGCCAGTGCAACTGCGTTCACTTATTTCTTAGTTCCGGAAACCAAAGGGAAAACGTATCAAGAGGTCCACAAATTACTACTAGGCAGTACTCGAACGACCAAACCAGTCCCTTAATCAAAATCAAAGCGTTTCTCTCTTCACTGCCTTCCTTTATTTTTATGATACACTCATCGTGCAAAATTTCGCGACATCCTTCATATCCATTAAAAGAGTTCAATTAATTTAATTGTTCATCGATCATCGATTCTTTTTTCGACTGAATACACTGATACGAATTTTGTTTTGACAACATTGACTGCCGACGGTCACCGATGATCTTAAATGTTATGTAATTGAATAATTTATGAAAGAAAAAGCAGGCAAAATTTATAAATAGCGTTATTATCTTATTAAATTCCAAGCTTATTACGTGTTAAAATATCTATCGCAACATGTAAAATCAATTACGATGACCCTAGTTAATCAAAGGACCTTGGCTTTTTCATTTTTCGATGAAAATTTCGTAACTACAGTTTCTATCGAGGGTGTCTAGAAGATATCAGCAGCGGCTATCGTAAGTGGAGCGATATCTCGATGGCTGCTCTTCACGATGGAAAGATTCCGAATGCAATGGCGAACTTTTACCAGTTAAACGTTCGCCAATGCACTGGTAATCGTTCCATAGTGGAGGGCAGGCATCGAGATATCGTTCTTTTAACGTAACACTTAGCTTGAGTTATCATTTTTTATTTGTTTTTTATTTTACTTTTTCCAATCGTGGAGAATGGCGACCGAGAGACGAGTAGGTACCTCCCAAGACGATAACCAAGATAACGACTGAGGCTATTGACGAATAACCAATAAATCGATCGCATAAATTTTTACTCTCTTTTTCAAATCGTCAATTTTCTTTAGAGCGTAACGATGACACAATTTTTCGATTTTCTTGTAAGACAATAAACGTAATATCAACATATATTTATATTTATCCTGTCCCGGTTGTTTATTCATTCCTCCACGGATTTACCTCCGCTGACATACAAAAATAATTGAAAGCAATCTAGTCCGTTCGAGGACAACGACAACGAGATATGTACACTGGAACGTAACGAGAGTGAATAAACGAAATCACCTACGTGTTTCCACGCAAGGCGATCGTTCAATTGCATAATGATCGTAACAATTAAATCGCAATTGGCGTTAGAGGAAGAACGAAGAAATTCGAATACACCGTCCACCGCGATGATGCAACGCGATTTCAGCGAATCGAGTCTCGAATCAAGTGTATTTTTTCCCACTTTTGGATCAAGGCTGTTCCAGGTAGCCGGGAAAGTATGATTCTGACGTCAAGTACTCGACGATCGTCGCCGATCGACACACTTACCGCGAGATAACGCGATGAAATTCATCGATCGCGTTTTTTCTTCGTCGACCGCTGAAATTTTCCAAGAAAAACAGGCGGACTATTATAAGGAAAAGCAAACAAAAGGCTGACGTTATCGGAAACGATGCTACCACTACTGTCCGCCTTCTCAACGATCGACGGCCTGTCATTAACGAACGCATAATTAATCAGCTGAGCTAGACCAGTTTCCGTGAAGATTTAAAGCGAAAGTCGATCGAAAGTCGGGTTTAATTAAGAAAACTTTCCGTTCGGGCGACGAGCACGCATCGATATGCAGGGATTATAATTCACGTGCATTATCCTTCTGATGCATCCTGCACCGCAGGTGCAAAAGTTTCGCTTAATGCAATCCGGCGAGGAATGCCGATGCGATTTTTCTTCAAAGTTGCTCTATCAGGGCGAGTCTTGATTGACGGGCTGCTCGAAGCGTGGCGTAGATTAATTCTTTGATTAGAAATTATTATTCTATTATCGCGTTTGCTACTATTGTGTATCTGGTTTCTTATAGAAAGCGTTTGAAAATTTTACTAAACGGATAATTCGACAAAATTACAAAACGTTTCAAACATTTAATGATATTCTAACTTATGTCGAAAATATTTGTTCAGATGATGAAACACACGATTGCTGCTGTTCTAATAACCGATGTTTGGACAATCGAGGCTAACATTCTCCTCTTACAACAGAAATATTCAGAATCACTACGTCATCGTTTTATAATACGAAGGTAACCAGATTTTTTTATAAAGAAACACCTCTAGGAATCCCCGAATAATTACAATCCAGCAGCGTTACGAAACCTGCCTGGCAAATTCAATAGTTGTACGAAAAGAGGGTCATAGATCAACAGAAATCCCCGAATGATTCATTCTGTGTCCACATTTTTAAAAGTGTATCTCTTTCTACTTTCACTTACGGTCGATGCCCTTTCCATTTGCCCAAAAAAATCCCCGAATATCTTCGTCATCGTGGTTTCGTTCCAGTAAATCGTCCGATAGCCCAATTCTGAGCAAATACCAGTCTATCGGTCAAAGATAGACGCGTTTCGAACGAAATTTTCCATGCAACGTGACAATTTCTATAGACGCGAATGATATCGATGGCGCTAAGCTCCTCCGTTGAAGCATGCTTTCTTCTGATAAAAGGATGAAAAAACATCGATAAACTGGATTGATCGGTAATAATAATTCGTTAGACTAGGTGGATCGTACAGAGGCCCGATTACATTGTTACGGGTTAAAGAAACGAGATAACAGGGTCGATCGCGTTCAATTAAACGACGATTTTCTCATTCAGATCACATTCAATTGCGTGACCCCGCTCGTAAGAGCGATCGTTCGGCCAACACATATCCGTGGCCGTGAACAACCGGACACATCGGGTTATTTTTCTTTCCTTTCCTGACTTACCCTTCCCGGGACATGTCCTGCTACCTCGACATTTCGTGATACGAATCGTTGACGAAGTTTATGGCCTGTCTACCTTCGTACAGGTCGAACTGTTTCTAGAGTGATTTAACACTCTGACGGCCGGTGACATTTCAGTACACGGATTTTTACTTTGTCAGTTTAAATAGAGAACAATTACACAAGTCGTATATTTCTTATTTTAATATTAGCACGGTGCAAAAAACGCGATAAACGCTTGTCTGTCAAACACGATGGAAGTTGATGGAGTAATCGTTCCCTGGATGGATAATTGCAAATTAAAAAGGTTGTAGCGAAATATACATCAATTAATGCATCAATTAATTCTGAGTTATCATTTGTCTAAACTGCTGATGCAAGGTTTTTCTCTCCTTTCATTAGGCAATCAATATTATTACCTGATTTGCGTTATTTAATAACAAAATCGCAATTCAGGTTAATTACATCCTGTTAATGATTTGAATAATCGTTAATACGACTTCACAGGAAGCTGACAGTTTCAACGAACCTCGTCGCAGTAAATGTGTTTGCTTTATCTCGTCGGAGTTATTATGTAGATCACGATGTTTATGTTAACAGGTTGAACTGTCGTTGGAGAACCAGTTTTGCAACAAGGGAAAATCTTTATGCAAATCCCAACGGGGACCGTGCACAAATGACTGAATCCAGTGATTTGCTTGTTGTCTCGGTAAATAGTTTTGCATAATCAACGCCAAATCCAGTGTTTATTAAACCGGCCGACAACTGCTAATTACATGCAAAATACAGAGGCATTTGAACAGTGCGAATTCCTGTAGCATCCAGCTGGAACGAAGTGCAATTTTATGCACTTGATGGAGGTGGTTAAACTTAAGCTTTGAAATTAAGACTTAGGATTTTTAATCCTTGCTTTGCGGTATGCTTTTCTATAGATAACAAAAATCTGTCCGGAGGATCGGCGACGGACGGTGGGTACTTAGTAAAATGCATTGGCGATGAATCCGTCATCGTATCCCAATGACAAGATGGTGCATCTCACCGATGCACCCAGACCATCCTCTGTGTCTCCAACTGGAGGCAGTTTCGATGAAACAACAAGTTGATGAATCTTCCGATTCTCTTATCGCGTTCACGACGAATAACAGTCGGAAATAAAAAGTGATCGCGTGGATCCACGTTGACAATCAGATCGGTGATTGCTTCCAGCGACGATTATTTAAAAAACCTGAAGATGGCGGGAGCTTTAATCATTGTTTGCTTCACTAAACTCTGTTCGATCGCCTTTCTTTGCTTTCCCAACGATCGTGTTTCCTTTATAAAGCAACTTCCTTCCTCGACACTTCTATTCGTGGCGGACAGTGAGCTCCGATCGTCGCATCGTTAAGAAATCGTGAGTGAAAATAATTTCATTTTCTTTTTGTACTGCGCTTTTCTCCGTGCAACATTGGGACTCGTTCATTTGGATCGTTCGGAGGAATCGATCGGTCGAGAACATTGCGTGTCGTTGAATCGAGGATCTCAGCTTGAGTAGCGTGTATTGTTTCGCGATTGTCGCACGCGATTATATCGGGGTTATTAGAAACTCTTTGTTTCACGGCCGTTTCGAGATTCGTGTGAATTATTCACGGCTTGATTCATTTTCTCTGCTTGAAGAATCATTGAAGCGGCTGATGCATCCACAGCCTTGCAAGAAACGTAAAACGAAGGCGTTCCGGAACTTATATCATAGAAATGGGATTGATTTTTAAAACGATCGTTTGTTTGCTAAAATTCACATCGATTCGAGAAATTAGAATGACAAACGAAACACGGTTTAATATTAAAAACAAGTCGAATGGTGATTCTTTTATTCGAGCATTCGATTCGATCGTTAATCAATCGAACGTATTGAATTTGTTTGATCTGTTCCTATCTCCAGACAATTTTATCTGAAGTGTTTGGACGTCATCAGCATGGCTGAATTCGCCAAATTTTCTTGAACCGTGCATGACAATTTACAAATTTTATTAACGACACAGTCGCTCGAGTCTGCTATTAACATTCGTTTCTTTTTGCAATAAAATAATCGCGAATCAATTAATCGATAGAATTTTTATACGATCTAAAACTTGAGAATATTATTGACACGTGCTTTTTTAATCAGCAAACATGCAAGTTGAAGGGGTGAAAATAGGATTAAAAAATGAAATATTATGAATGAAAGATTAACCCTTTAACTGCGGGTGTGGTATATAGACAACGTCAATTTTTGCTAATATTACCACTAAAATAAAAATAAAATAAATAGAATAAAAAAAACCTTTTAAAATAGAATATCACTTCAGTAATATAATTTAAAATTAGAGCGATCGGCCGTGCTAAAAGTACCCGCAGTTAAAGGGTTAATGCGAATAAACGAGCAATAAAATACCATAAAACTGTTCCATGTCTATTTAAGGTAATATCAATAAAAAGAATGAGGAACAGTACATACGGAGTATGTATTATCTTCAGAGAAATGTTTACCATTGAAACAGATTGCAATATGAAAGATATAAACCCTCGGGTGAATCTCGTAGTATCTCTTTTAATTTATGTATTCACGTGCTTTCTGTCGTCTCTTGCTATAAATAAATTCGTTTCTCCCATTTCGTCCCTCGCGTGCAATTGAAATATCGTACCAGTGATCGACAGAATAACAAAATAAAAAAACACGTTCGTGTAAAATGTATTTTCTCGCTCCGATTTGTTGTTCTATCGTCAAATTAAAGCGGTTAAATCATTTTCGAGTGTAACGGATCAATCGGATAACTCGAAACGAGCCGATAATTAGAATTTAATTCTTGATCGGCACTCGAATCGCGCTCCGATTGTCGCGTTATCAAGGGCCAAGTGAAACAAACATATTCCCCGGATGATTTTACGAAAAAGAGGGGGTCGTTCGTACACATAGACACGTCGAAACACATTCTTGGACAACGTAGAGTACGCGTACGTTATATAACGAATGATCGAGGACCTATATTACAGGTGTTTCTTAAAGAAAAGACCATTTTAACAAAGTGCGCGCTCCTTGTCGGTAAGTGGTCTTGTTATTTCTTATCTATCTCTCATCGAACCGGTGAAATTTCATTAGGTCATTTTCATTTCGTCCGCGTTCGATTTATTTTCCATTTCGTTCACCCTTATCCGACACGAGTGAATAGATTATCGGCAACTATCGTGTCGTCATCGGGATCAGTTGTTCCGTAGAAGTGTGACGGTGGGGGGACACTTAAACAAAGGTTTATCGTTTCCTGAAGAGTTTTAGATTTGACGAAAAATCGGATTCAAAGGGGAAATTTACTCGAGAGGATAACTCGTGATTGACGATATCGGTCGCCGGTTGAAATTTCCTCATCAGAGACAGAATGATGTCAGAATCGAGGGTGATTAGTGAAGAAAAACTTATTTGTTCATAGTACCCCTTCATTTGATTATTACAAAATTATATCACGTTTCGACAAGAGTAAATATTTTTCTTCACCCTAATGATTAGAAATTAACTAAGACAATTTTCCATAGAAAATTTTCCTAATCTCCTTTCATGCCGACTCAGCGGATAGTTTGTGAAACGTGTCGATAATTAATCATTAATTTTATACTCCACCTTGGAATGTTATCAATATTCCAGGAGGTGCAGTGATTTTTAGAAACAAGGTATTTCGCGGTTAAGATATGAATAATGAATCCTCGGAATCATATCTGCTCGTGAAATTTAGGGCTTTTAATGATCCTTGGATCACACGTTTATCTCGTCACGTAGAGAATCCAGGATCGCGTTCCTGGTTCATCGCGTCATCAAGATCAATTCCCATTCTCCTCGCGATCTATGACGTTCAAACGTGCTACGCGATCAAACGCTTTCGTAGATTCTTACTTTTTCCGATTAAGGTTATCGTGGTACCGTTCACTTCGTCGATGATTCTTCCCCGTTCGTATCAATCCCCGTTGGAAATTTTCGAGTTTCACGTTGCACGAACATTTCTTCTCTTGTTTTTTGCTTTGTTCAGCTACGCGATACAACTCTGTCCTGCCCTCTTTACGGCGAGATTACTCCAAAGTTTCAGCACGCTTTTCACGATAACCGAACTCGACGAACCACGTCATTGGCAGTCACTGATAGTGAATGCCATCGGATCGCAAAATAACAAAATATGTATGAGATTTTTCTGTGACAACGAACGCTGTTGGCTGAATGAAATTTTTACCCCTTTCTTATCTTATTCATTTCTTCCATTCTAGATTTTTATTTATACGAGCGAGGCGCGGTTCTTTTTTATTAATCATGGATGTAATATTTCTTTCGTTTTTTGAATAAAATTTTTTAATTTTGCGCATCATATTAATACGTTTTTATTAGAATATAAGACTGATGCATGTAAATATGAAAATATCGCGGTCTTTGTTTTTCAACCTACGTTGTTATTGGCATTTTTATTGTTATCAGAAAGACCGTGTTCGCAGAAGTTTGACCAGCGACTGTGGTTTTGTACGAGTACCGAAACGATTGATAAACTAGCGCGAAATTCAACGAACGAATATTTCATCCATGAATCTCGTTTACTCCTACTTTTTCAAACGTTCACTGCCTTATCGGACGATAAGACAAATGAGAGACTCTCGAACCATAGATAATCGATCAAGCGATTTGCGAAATTCTTTTGTGATTTCTCTCTTCGATGTGCGGCGATAGAACAGCGACACGTTTTTCGTAACAAGATTTTTATGTAATGGCAAGATAAATATTTGTAAATAAAAGTGGAAATAATTCTCCTTTAGATTGGTTATGAGTTCCTGGTTTCATTTTTCGTAATTCAATTATTTTTATCCGAGGCTCGTTAATGATCGGAATTTACGTTCACGAGTTTGTTTAGTAGATAGCGATACGAGTAAATCAAATCATTTCGCGATTTCAAAGATATAGATTGAGTTTGATTTTCAATTAAGATTTGATCCATTTGATAATAGACAATCAATTAGTAAGTGAAAAAGAAAAGATCTTGAAATGCAATTAAAATGAATAACGTTGTAACAATTGTTTAAGCTTCCAAGTTACCGCAACTTCTCTTTATCCGCGAATAAATATTACGAGCAATTGAATGAGATTCGAAAAAAAAGAAGATGAATTATGTAATATCTTCTACGGAAAACGTTTGATATAACATTACAATACTTATCTCGTAATCGAGTATTATTGCAATAGTATCGACGATTGTTTATGAGCTTGAACAACTGTCAAGGTTTCCTACGATCGAATACGCATGCTGTTGTTCGACAAACAAATGATCTAAAACAACAGTATTAAGACATTATCTGCCATTGACAGATGCGTATATGGGATATTTTGTAACATAAATATGGAACGTTTTGAGGTCTGCCACAATCAATAATTGAGAGAGGAATTTTTTTTTCAATTTACGATCTTATTAGTATGAAATTATTCATGCAAGATATTAAGGGGAATGATCGCATTCTGAATAATTGCAATTATGGCTAAATTGGTTAAACGTTTCTTCTATTGTTCGTTCTTTTCGCACATTATGGAAGCAGGAACGAAAAACAGTTTCCGGTGTTAAGTTCCTGCTCCAGTAGCATCTCTCGTTCTTTTTGTATTTCGAACAACGTAGCCTTCGGGTAATCCCAGGATTCTAGAAATCAATTATCTCGTCGACACGTTCTGAATGAAAACGATTCAATTACAATAACGTGACAGATCTTCCTTTCCTTTTAAATCCTTAATATACTTTATTAAGGATTAAGGAGTCTCCTTAAATCTTTATTTTACTGAAGCTTACAAAGGATCAAGTTTAATCAGTAGAAGAAGAATCATTTTTCTTTCTCTGTCCAATAAAACTTTTTATAAGTTTTTATAATAATTTATCCTTCTTCTTAAATCTCCATTTTGTTTGGGAATTTCTTTTATACGATTATTGTACATCTGTACAAATACGTCAAAGCAAAGAGCAATGAAAAATTCGGGGATCTCCTTCGACATCGTACACTTGTCGTCACCCACTGAATGAAACGTAGAATTATTGAGTTAATATAAAATTTCAATCATTTGTTTGCTCAGACAATATCAAGCTCTTGTAATTTCATATTTTTTGTGATTGTATATTGTGCAATTCTATATATTATTTTTGTTATATCGGAAAAGAGATTACCGGGAGGATTACGTTTGAAAGTTTTCATAACAAACGTTACAGGATAATCAATTTTCAAACTGAAATTATTATGCAATACAAAAGCAGAAATAAACTAAATAATACTGGTATACAAAGTTAGATACCAGAATTACGAATATCGAACCTACCAGCTTTTTATTACATTTTGCAACCTTTCATCCCCTAAAAAATCCTACTCCGAAAAAGTTACATTACTCGTTGGATCTTTTCGAATCCCTTCTGTCTGAATATAATCCTGTTGGCAGACGTGCGTGAAGGCAACAACCAGCATCCCTTTCGCGAGGGTATTGATTTTTCTCTCAACGTTAGGGGCGGGAAATAAAAGAAGAGAGGTTCGCTCGGTTCGTTGATTTAATCCTTCGCAGCGCCGTTCCAAAGGTAATATACATTGAATCGCAATAAAGATACGGTAAAAATCTAACTTGAGATATAGATACGATACACGGGTGAAAAAGAAGATAGATTGCACTCGAAGGACGTATCGACGCAGTTATTGGGCGATATTGAAGTTCGATCGAAGAGTTACGACAAGAGGACACCCTTTTATTTCTTTTCTGTTATCGTATCAGGCAGGCATGGAATTTCCAGAAACTCTCATTTATAAAACACTTGTAATTTTTCTTTTTTAAAAGTTATCAACATTTTTATCGATTAGTCATTAACGTTAAGAATTTTTTCCTCAAATGATAATTTGATGTTGATTAGAATTATTGATCTTCACATAAGTTGCTTTGCAACAGAAACAAGCAGGAAGAACATTTAGTCAGATTAGGATCGTTGTCCTACATTCTGACAAATGAATTCCTAGAAAGTACTGTTATCAATTCCGAATACTTTCCACGAGGAAAATATTCATAAGAATACTTTCCAACCCTTGGAAGATAAATGTCTTCTCAGGCATTTGTACCAAGTTCCCTAGATACCATATATCAAACTTACAAATGTAGGAAATCGTGAAAAATAGGGGACCGGAAATCGAATTCTAGTCTTTCACATTGTAGCTATCTTGTTGACATCACTTAACTCTAATTCATATTGGCAAAGTAAATAATAGAGCATGCTAATACAAATAATTTCCACGTGTAATCTACTATTCCACCTTTTCTATCCTCGGTACTCCATCAATCACTTGTCAAATTCTTTGCATTAACATAATGAGTGACTTTTATCACTAGTTTTTATTCTACCAATGTAAACTCCATTTTAGTACTATATCAATCATTCGATACAGAATTCTCCCTACTACTGCCTGTACACTTTATCATTTACTTTATCACTGACTCCTAGGTTTCATTACAGAGTCCGGAGGTTCCAGTCTTTCATGATTAATTACTATCCATTAAAATTCAACTTCTGGTAGGCTAATATAGACTGGGCAGTCTTTCACCTCTAGATCTTCAACCCCAACGAGGTACTTAAACTGCACCCTCCCCAGAAGAATCGATTGACTTTCTCCAAAATGTGAAAGTCTTTCATTTAGAAATTCGAATGTCTAATTATTACAATTAGTACAGGCTTCCTAAGTCTGTAAGTCATAACCTAAATCACTATCATAGAAGGGTTAAATGATCGCGAGGTACTTCGTGACATCACGAAGGGGGTGAAACTCGATTGTCGCGTTCAACCCCCTAATCCCGGTCAGTCGGAGGATCGATCGACGATCTCAGCCGACCTTGACACTATCGTTGCAGGGTCGAGGACTCGTTGGGACGGTCGTTGCATTTTCTGACAGAAGAGGAGTAGAGGGACAAGTTCGAAGCCAGTAGAACGAATCGGCGTTCGTTCGTAAAAGTAGAGAAGGGAGAGGAGGTCAGCCGTTTATCGAGCGAGCTTACCGAGCTAACGAGGAACAGAGATAAACTGAGAGAAGGAGAGCGAGCGAAATGGCCCCCACCTACAGCTACGAGGAAATAGAGGGGCGCTCGTATAAGTATGCCTACAGCCCTGTACCAGTGAGTTCCTCTTCAGCAGTGTACGATTCAACCACCCTTGGAAAACATCCCGTCGATATTGGTGCCGGTTCGACGAGCTTTCGTGTATCAAACCGTGTGCAAGACAAGTGTCGTGCCTCAGAAATGGCGGAAAAGGGCTCGACGTTACTGCAATACGTCGCTGCTGCAGCAGGTAAGACCTACCATTCAACCCCTTCGCCCTGTCAAGCACACTTCTGCTCATAAATCATAGGAGAACTACTGGAATTTCACGAGGACTTAGGAATTTTTATTTTCTTATTTTCACGCTACTAATGAAAATTTTAGTAATATAAAAATTGACAGTTTCAATTATTTTTCAATGATTGGAAATTATTTTTAAGAAAATTTTATAATACACTCGCAATCAGTTAATATAAAAAGTAATAAAACTGTAGTTTCGATAATTTATATTATGTAATTATAGATCGTAAACTAGCAAGTGTCCTATGACTTCTGAGCGAGAATGCATTTCCTTGTCTAATAAAAATGCGAATGCAGTTACAACCGACTAGAATGAATGTTGCTAACTAAGAATTTATCTGTGAATATGAATGCCATGTGAATGATCGTGTTACGTGGAAATGAAAAGAACACAGTTGAATAAACAGTTCGATTCAAAAGAATTTGATGTTGAATAGTTTAATTTCTAAGCTAAAATTATCGAGTATTCGTTCTGTAAATTACTCATTTCTATAGCGGCACGTGCGTTCGGTCTTGGTAAGAGGGTTGCAAATCTTTCTGAATGAAAGCAGGGAGACACAATCGTTTAACGAACCCTATCCGCGTGGCAGGACTTCTATTTCTATATACGACCATCGGACTTTGGGGTTGGTGAATTCTATTCGAGCAATCATTAGAGATTTCAATACAACCCTTTCATTAGTGACAATGTTAAAACATGGATAACATATTCTTTGCAACGAGATATCTTTTATCACAGGTGTTTTTACGTATTAAATATCGTTTTAACATTTACACTCCATGTCTGCTATTTCGAAATATAAGCTTTCTGCACCGAACGATTTAATGAAGAACTATAATCGTCTTTAGTAGCGAAAGGGGTGATTTGTAATATACCAAAATTTCGATTTCAAGATTTCAAAATTGTTTTGGGGTTTTTACTGAAGTACAAGTTATCAAAATAAAATGTTTGTATGATCGTAACTGAATTGATAAGTTAATCCGCTTATGAAATCTATTGAATCTTCGCAATTTGTGAATCATTGATACTATCGCTAATAATTTTTATTTCTAAGATACGGATTAGATAAACGCGTAATAAATTCCTATAAACTTAGAGAGGAGAACTGTAGAAAACAAATTATATAATGCTTTCTTTCCGCGATGCATAAAGCATCACTGAAAAGAAGAAAATTCAATAATTGGAAAAGTTTTATAAATTTTATAACACTTCATAAAATAGGACTGTCATAAAAAATTTAATTTTCCTAATTTTCGTGTCAAATGAAAGAAAATTTCATTTCAATCAATTAGAATATCAAATTCGAACGACAATGCACCGCTCATAATCATTTATTTCTAAATAAAGTTACTGACGTTGAATTGAATTTATTCGCGCGCGATACCACGTGTCGCACTTTGACGTATCGATAATTACACGTGACTTAGTTCCTTAGAAAAATTTAATTTCGTTGACGAAACAGCCTCACGTGCGATCTAATTCGAAAGCAACACTATAAAAATGGGAGCAACAAACTTGTTGACGCGACAAGCATCGACGTTTTGCAAACAGAAAGCAATATAAACAAACACGTGCGCTGTGATTTTGCAATATTATATTGTGCTAAGTTTGGACCAAAATTTCGTCACAACGTTTAAAAAATATAAAGTTCACGTTTCCGTTTTGATGAGAGGTTCGCGTGTTTCTTTAAAATAATATACAGGTTTAAAATTGACGTGACTCCGTTTCTACCATTCGAATTTCACTGCAAACTTTGAAAATACAGAGAAATATATCACTCTTATAAATGTAGCAATTCGGTTCATACTTTTGTAGTCAATTTAAATCGTTGGCTTCGTGACAATGACAATTCATCGAAAAATCATTCTAATTACGGTGAAAGAAAGAAAATTCTTCGCGTTAAGTGAGCATATTCATAAAAATAAATATCCTTTAAAATTATCCACGATTTCGACGATAAAAGCTAAGTATATATCATAGAATTCTCGTGGATAGTAAGAATCACGTGTGGCATGAGTTGTCGATCAAAGAGGATGGATCGCTTGGATCGCGGAAAAGACACTTGGCACTGCATCGCAGAAGCGATAGAACTCTAATAAATCATCTTAACAATCACACAACATGCAACACATTTGTATTCACGATGATACTTTGGGATCAAATTTAATGCAACTGTAACATGGTACAGATTATGCATTTATTATATTTATTTTAGTTGATGCGAAGATTAGAATTTTGATAAATTCATCAGAATTCTGATAAAAGGAGCTAAAAATATGAAAGTTTTTATTGTGTTTACGAATTGGTATTCGGTTCTCAGAAGACGGGTCGCTGACACAGTGACAATTGAAATTCAATTTTAGATTCCATTTCATTTACATTTCCTAAGTTTTAGAGTATTCCTATGGAACTCGAAATCATTTCGAATTAGAAATGAATTGATTCAATATATTACTAGTATATGAAGCTATTCGACAATGAAACATCGCGTTGCAAGTTTATTAATAATCCCTAACATTCATTAAATCGTCACTGGCATGATCGAAGTCGTCCAATTTCCCAAAGCTATTCTTGGAGACTTCCCACCACGAACATCGATACATGTTTCACCCTCGAATTAGCGAGCCAATTAATTGATTAATTAAATTTACACCGACTTTCACAGTGGTCTGACCACCAGTTACGTAATTCTCTCATTTTTATCACTGATTCATTCCTGTATCGTTCGATGTTCCTTGCACTTTATCTTTGGGCATGTCATCGTGCATGTAAATGAACAGTAACATTAAATGATGAAATTGGTTCGTCATTTTAAAATGGATGTATTGAAAATTTGATGAAATTGAGAAGTTGGTGTTCTCAGGTGAAGATTTATTGCTGTTGCGCAAATCCATCAATCTTAACGAGATATTTTGTTGATTGATTATGATGAATTAAGTAATTATGAATTAATCTCTCTTACGTAACATCGTCAAAGTCCATCTGTATTATTAAACTGTTGTAATTTATCAGAGATCGAAATTTATCAAAATAAAAATATACTGGATCGGTGATGGGAAGCAGCGTTCAAAAAAGAAAACAATTTTTGAACAAAAAAAATGAAAGTAGAGAACGAAGGTCTCAGGTAACAAAGTTCAAGCATGCAGCATCGTTGAGAGGAAAAGTCAACGAGTTGCTTGACGAAAATAACATGGTGTATCTTTAACGCGTTTATCCGCGACACCTTTCGTTGCGACAGAATCACAGTGGGCGAAACACGAAGAAAAGGGTTAATTACAGAAGCGGAGATTAAATAGAAAGAAAACTTTCCTTTCGCGTAACAGGAAGCGGTGACATTTCACATGGGATTGTGTCATCGATATGAAGATCTAAACAACAATTGTCACGCGGGACTGTTGTAGTTATGAAGCTAATAAGGATGTAGTTTGAACCGATTGCGATCTTTGCCGGTCGAGATTCAATTTAGTGAATACCGGATGCGAATCGTTTAATATTCGCCGCATTCGAGGACACGACGAATCTCTCTTTGCACGTAGATCGTTTGCTCCACGAGTCGTCCTTCACACGCTTGTCTTTGCGTTTTTGACCGACTTATTATTCTATTCGACGAAGTTTCACCTATGCATTCGGTATCAGGTGTATTAATTGATATCATCCATCGATCAATTCCAGAGTTATCAGAAGATCTTCAAATTCAGTCTCCTCCAGCATTAATTTTAACGAAAATTGACTTGATCTGTTAATTGATTAGAGTTTCACTCATTTGTTTCGGTCGACCGATATTGTTATCAATGCTTTTCGTGAAACAAGTCGTACGTCCTTCGTTGCTTCGAGCTCATTAAATTTCACCATTGAAACGACAAACAAAGTGGTCGTTAAGGCTGCTTTACTGCGACAAGACGTGCTACCAGGTGATTTGCATTCCGTCGTCGCGAAACACCTTGTTTCTCAAACATTTGCCGCGCGATTTAACTCGCTCGATCTTCGTCGACTACGAAAGATCGTTAAATTACATCACGAGAACTCTGACAATGGGAAGGTTTTTGCGATTCTTTCGATTAAGGGCTTTTATCTTATCCGACAAACGGTGGATAATTTTTTCATCCAGTTAAGTATTTTACGCGACGAATCTTATGATATAATGTGCCGATAATCATGAATGATTACGTTTGATGAAGAAAAGTGGTACGATTAGATTCTGACGATTTGTTTCACTACCGATTCTTATTAGCCAGTTAAGTTGTTGAATGTATGACCAAGTATCGGCGATTTGTCGAAATCGATAACTCTATCGGAAGCTTTTACAAATTTAAGAGAAAAAACAATCTATCAATTTGCAAAATTTGAAAATTTATGAATGAAAATCTCAAATTTTCAAATGAAAAATTTCCAAATTCGATGATCGGTATTGTAAAGAGCCGATCAAAATTTTCTTGTAAACACGAGACACTGGTGGTCACGATAACAAACAGCTGTCTAAACTAGATAGGAGAAAATTTTTCGGAGGAGTCACGTTTTTTCTGTGCTCGTTCTATTTATCGTATCGCGATTGCTGAAAAACCACATCGGTGGGTGGTTCCATGCAGACTCGTGCTTTTTATCAGACGATTAAAACGTAAACACGAAACAGCGCAGATGAGTTTATCGTGGCTGATTCGGAGGTCGTACGCGATTAAATTCTTTCTCGCATATGCAAACGCGTCGTTCTTTCGTGTTACAGGTTTTCCGAACAACAATTTCTTTGTTCATTTTCCATTTCCTCGTTGCTTCCTATTTCCCCTATGCAAAACACTTGAAAGAAAACGAGAAAAAGGAGCAAATCTATGGCGATTACCCTGATGTAACGATTTTCAGCTATCAGCGCGATTTTTTTCGCGAATTATCTTAATACTCGATTTTTCTCTTCCTTTTTTCTTAGTAATTACGTCTTAATCGGGTTATTCATTCGACGCAGTAACAATTAACAGTCCGACGAATTAGAATACATTGAAACGGAAGGAAAAACAAATTTTTTCGTCGATATGAATGATAGACGATAGATAGATGTTTGAGATTCTAAAAATCATCAAACGAAGCGAACAATCGTGTAGTATAACATTTATCGTGTTATCGATCTCGATGATAATAATAAGAGGATTACAGCAAACAGAAGCGTAATCATCGTGAATTTTTTCGCGACGAAATTCCGAAGGAATCGTTTCCCAACCTGAACAAATAAATTGCACATCGATAGAAGAATCTTCTTCAGTCAAGAACTTCGCGGTTTAGAGTTCATCGACTCGCGTGAATTTTAAAACATTTTCGCCACTCTCTCTTGGAATATTCTCGTTGAAATCTCCCGAAACTTGGCCCCTCCGCCCCTTCGTACGATTACACAAAAGCAGATTTGCAAAGCGTTTCGTTATGAAATTCGTCTCGATTACGGTTTCGTCACTGGTGTAAACAAAAAATATTTATCGTAATCGCAGTATCGACGAAAAATGCTACTCGTTGCGAGAGAATTTCTCGGAAAGAGGAGGCGCCTGTTAATTATAAACACTATAATCTACTAGTTGAGCAATATTTACAATTTTCAAGACCAGGGATACGAGTTTCGAGCAGTGATTTGAACGATAAATAAAGAATCGAGAATTTCGATCGTTACTTTAAATTCCACGATAACGACGTGTTTGCCCCATTGTCTCAAAGATGTTTTGTCCATCTGTTCGATCATCGTGGACTTTGTAATGATTCCCCAGGAAATATTTTTCTGGACACTCGACTTTGTTTGAACAAGAGTCAGAACGTGTCCACAGACGCGTGGGGTCATTGGCGATCAAATAATAATTAAACACTTCTTTTTTCAATGAAAATTAGGGTCGCAGCCACCTTTTGTAGAGTACAAAGGGGCTGGTATATACAGACCAATTAAGGAGACGAGTGTAATAATGAAGAGACTCGAGGAATAAAGGGTTGAATTAAAAACGAATCACTGACAGACAGTGGTACAAAAGGTCATTGCACCCGAAAGTACCCATGACGCGTTTCGTTTCCGGTGACACTAATGGAACCGAGAGGTTGCAATGGATCATTCACCCATTGATTCAATCGCTCATCACCGGTGTCCCAAGACGATTCGTGCACACCCACCGAGCTATCACGCTGGTAATTCTGCATCGTTTCAATTGCATATCACCAGCGGATAATATTTCGCGAATAAGTTTTATCGAGAAAATTGAGTAATTTGCCACTTCAATTATCAATTGTCAGTAAAAACACGTGTCGATCCATTGTAAAATTCTGCTACCCATCGAGAATTTTTTGTAAAAACGTTTCTTTTGTGTTGACCACTTCAGAATAGCACGTAGCGTTAACAGTGATGTAATCTTTCTTCAAGTTCATGAAAATTCTTATCAACACGGAAATTTCCAATGTTTCTAGAACTTCAGAAGCTCCTTCTGCGTTACACACCCTCTTTTAATCTCTATTGTTAACACATTTCTATTTTTCTTTCCTAATTACAAACAATAGATAATTGAACAGTTAATTGTTGACAATGGCCTCTATTTTCTAGCCGATGGAAAAATCGTAAAGTTTCGATAAGAATGTTTGGATAGATGTAGTCTACGAGTTTCTAAGAAGTAAGGACTACCAAGTTGGAATTTACCGGATTAATAATCTAATGATTCACGAATCGTATCGGGGATTAAGGGAGTACGATATCTGGATCGATAGGTTTGTGTACTCGGCACGGATTTACTGCATTGCATCAAACGAAAGATTTTACATTGGTAGTCTGTCACCGTTCGTATCGCTGTTTATCTGGCTAAAAATCCAGGTTAAATGAAATGGTAGCTCGATAACGCATCGACGCGATTCGATTAAAGAAATCAGATTGATAGTGAAGATTATTCGTCGCCCTTTCATCCCTTTGGTATTCAAAGTTCTGATAAAATCACTCCAGACTAACGAAACTGATAGGGTAGTTTTTGTTCTTGTTTTTAAGATACAGATAATAGAGTTTACATGCCTCGTTGTAATTAATGGATCATTTGATCAAACGAGATAATCAGCACTTTCGTTTGCGATAATTAACATCGGCTTTATTACTTCACTGATTAAGTCCAATTAGGAGGTGTTGATGTTTTAAATATTAAGACATTTAAATCGTAAGAATTTCAAGATATTTTTTAATATGAAATGCTCCATGACTTCAGAGCGGAAACTCAAAGTCACGGAGCATGGTCGAGAGGTTCGTCCACCAGGAAAACTTACGACTGTCAAACGTAAGCGTAAAAACGACACGTTACGTTGCATCTAAGAGTAATATACGGTGTTTACGTAATCGACACGAGATTGCTCTTATATCATTCTATCGCGTGCGGTACCGGAACGAAAAATAAAAATACTATTGCGCGCTCGTTACGACGAATCGCGCGGTGATTTCGCGGCAAAAAAATCCACCGTCTTTCTATCCGATGAAGAATAACTATCAGCAAAATATAGCGTCTATCTGCATTGTCATTCCACTAGACTATTGTTAATTCTGGCAAGAATATAAAGTTTGCAAATTGTAGCAAGTTCAAGGACGAATCGATTCTATTTGCGATAAAAGTTAGCGAGACAAAAATGAATACAGATACCGGAGCACTCCAAATTACTCGTTAATTTGTATCGGCATGAAAACAGCGGTGTGGTAATCGGAACGTAACCACGGTCTCGTTTTTAACATTTGCGAAACGCGATTCAAGGATCCGGTCGAAGGCGTTTTCGCGTGCAAAGCAGTTTTGCGTGATCGCCAATTTTAGAGGCAGCCTTCAAAGATTTCCTCCACATCCATCGATACAGAAATGGAGGATCAGAGATACAAATTGTTCCATTCAAGAAAATTATCGTTGAAATTTTCAACTCGTAGCAAGTTGAAAGGAAATGATCAAAAATGCTAATTGATAGAATGCCAGTAGTACAACCTACAATAAAGCAATGTAACACGTATATCAATGATAAAATGATCCAAACATTTCATCACTCTTCCGAGACAATTCCCAGAACATTTTTAAAGTCACCTATTCTTTATTACGTGAACAATTTCGCAATGTTTTCTTTCTAAAATTGACTGTCGATCAAAAACACAGGAAGAACATTTTATCAAAAGATCCATTTTCGAATATAATACGATTGTTGCATAAAGGACAGCTGCTCCTGATGTATCTCATAAATAAACTAAACGAATTTATCTTCATTGTCTATGCGACAATAGAGAAGGAGACAGAATTACGCTTTCGATTAATTTACCTTCCCCCCGTCCGTTTGATTAATCGTTGTATAATGATAGGTTGTCGAATTAAAGTGTCACTTACGGGTGACAGAAACAAGAGAGAAGAGAAAAATAAAACGAGGAGATGATAAAAAGATGAAGGAAAAACTAGTGATTCAAGTGTTAGAATCGCGTTATCGTCGCGTTCCAATCTGACTGGACTAATAACAACGCGGAGGAGGCTGTAATACTAATCTGTACACACGTACATTCTTTAAGTAAATTATCGAAGACATTGTTTACTCGACCATTATCACGGTCCTTGATAATTATGTAATCTATCAATGAAACGAAAGAGATAGAGAGAGGGAAAATGATGAACGAGAGATAAACGTAGACTTCCATAGGCTCGTGACAAGCTGATAAGTAGATTTCAGCCGGTTCGAAATGGAAAAATTTCCTATTACAATTTATCTGTCGCATTGTCCACTATTTCTTTTTTTCTTTTTGCCTTTTTCGTTCCCGTTATCGATAACGGCTGCGAATTATTCCACGATGCTGCCGTCTGATCAACGGAAAAGTATCGCGAACCGCGTTTTTATTACTGTTACGTCTATAATCTATTCAGAGCATTCATTGTTCTCGTTACGAAGCGCGGGCGGATAATAACGTATGTGGGTAAACGAAGATCGCCGCGAACTCGAGTGAAACGTGACTTGCGATTCACGCCGGAACCCTGGCCGTAAACTATCACGCGGAAAATTTGTACTTCGGATAAATCGCTCATTATCGTCGCTCCACGGTGCTTTATTTTCTCCGATCCTCCTTTGCTGCACGCCCGTCGATTGAAACGGGGCTAATCGATATTCATACGCGTACTGAAACGCCTCTGTACGATTCGCTTTTCAACGGGTATTCGATGATTCGAAGACATCGGTAGCAAAATTAATTGAAAAAAATCTTGATCTTACGAAAATTTCTCATCTAATCTTTTTCTGACTTCAGCCAATCTTTGCACCGTCTCGGCTGGTGCTATGATGGGATGGACCAGTCCTGTCTTACCAAAACTAGCAAACTCAGTTGATGACAATCCGTTCGGTAGAGTAATCACCGCCGATGAAAAATCATGGATCGGTTCGCTGGTGTCGATCGGAGCGATGATCGGACCTTTCGTCGCTGCATACATGGCAGAAGGGTATTACACTGATGGTCATATTTATCCTTCATTATCGATCACCCGAACTGTCTTTACTAATCAATTTTGTATTCGATTAACGCAGATTCGGTAGAAAACGAACATTGTTGGCCTCGGCGGTACCATTTCTGATCGGTTGGATCTTAATCGGTACAGCCCAAGTGGTAGTCCAAATGTACGTGGCTCGAGTTCTCCTTGGTTTCGCTCTTGGATTTGCATTCACGGTCGTTCCCATGTACTGCGGCGAGATAGCCGAGGTAAAACACCGTTTTCTATAGTAGATTATCAAAACGATCGTAAAGGATCTCATCATTTGATTGTAATTTGAATCCGAACAGACATCCGTCAGAGGAGCACTTGGATCCTTCCTGCAGTTATTCTGCACCGTTGGTCTCCTCTATTCGTACGCCATTGGACCGTACGTGCCGTATCTGGCATTCTGGATCTTGTGCGCCCTTGTGCCCATCATCTTCTTCGCTTGTTTCTTCACGATGCCCGAATCACCGATGTATCTGTTGAAAGTTGGCCGAAGAGACGAAGCGATCGCTGCGCTGGCCAGGTTGCGAGGCAAATCAGCGGCCGGTGTGCAGAAGGAAGCCGATGAAATACAGGTGAGTGCGTTCTTTATGGAAAAATAATTTACGACCAAAAGTGGACTGGTTCGGTCTGGCGACTGGAATAATTCTCGTTTATTTAATCGCGATAACGAGGAGGAAAGGTTTGCGGACACTTTGTACTTCGATCGCTAGAAGCGTGCTCTTAGTTCTCTTGTAACAATCAGGGTTATAAAGTGCAAATCTGCAGACTGTTTATCGATATAAAAATGGAAGAAGTTATTCCGGTGTATGCCAGTCACGCGATCGCAGATGAATGGCGCGACCGCGATAAAAGGAGAGCATAGTTCGATTTTTACGAGCGCCCATAGAGTCTGTGAACCGTCCGGTAATAAATAGATGAAAAATCCGGAAATCTATGGATAAGTCGAGCCATAAACAGAGATTGCCTCGAAGTGTCATCGAGGCTGACGAGACAGCGAGAGTTACAATATGATATCGGTGTTCGGGTCACGTTCGCTGAACGAGGCCGGGGGTAAGGTCGTTCCTTGATCTGCCAATGGTAGCGACGATCCTCCAACGTGCCTCTATACGCTATTGAATCGCGTGGTCGAGTGACTAACTCGTCACGTGTCCCCATCATCGAGTGTCACGCGTAGTTTGATCTTTCGTTTTTGAACTCCGATTCGTACGAAAATATATCTGTCGTTTGTTTTATTTAGGCGGCGATCGAGGAATCGTTCAGAGAGGAAGTCAAATTTACCGATCTATTCACGGTGAAGGCTAACGTCAAGGCACTGATCTACACCTGCCTACTCGTATCCTTCCAACAGCTCAGCGGTATTAACGTGGTGCTCTTCTACATGGAGGGTATTTTCAAGAGCGCAAAGGTACCCTTGGAAACGTCAATTGCAACCATCATCGTAGGAATAGTGCAAGTATTCGCATCCGGTGTCACGCCTTTGGTCGCGGACAGACTCGGCAGGAAAGTGCTGCTTATTTTCTCCGGCGTAGGCGAAATTCTCAGTTTGGTAAGTAAATCGAATTTAATATCTGTATCCTCCAATTTTTTAATCGGCCCGATATCGCAAAGTTATCTTCTATTTTGTAATTATTATCGCGAAATGATAAAAAAAAGCAATAGCTGTCAAAAAAAGCTTGAAAGAAAATGCTTGTTACACATGGAAGCCTCGTATAATGACAGCAAGATCATCAAAATGCATGATTGCTTGTATATCATTTGCAACGTGGTAATTAACAATCCACCCACGTTTTCGCTGAGTCTCACAGATTATGATTCTAATCGTGTTCAAGTCTGAATTGCGTCAAATTCTGAGAAGCTGGGATTCAATATCCAGAAATTTCACAAAAAGTAATCATTCTAATTATTGGACACATCATGCTGGTGCAGAAGGTCGCAGGTTCAGTGTTGGGCAAAGGGTGAAGGTCGCCCTTCCATACATCAGGACTTTAACTACTGCTTAATCAATTCCTTGCGCGTATCAGGCAATCGCGGTTGGATCTGATGCATTCGTATGCAACTCCTTTGATTCCTTATCACGCGAGGCAACAATTCGTTGGCCATTCTAATCACACCTCGATTGGAAACCCCCTCGTCCTTATTACGTCTATATTTTTATTTTTTCAAATCAAAGCTTCAAAATAAAACTAGGCCTCGATTTTCGGGAAAAAATTCAACGACGAATTTAATTGATATCTGTTAACGATAAAAGAGTTTCGTAACGAGCACGTTTGATCGCGGATGAACGCACTTTTCACAGCCTTGATCCACTGTCCGTCGGCGTAAGTTTCGTAGGTATTGCAAAATAGCGGCAACAAATCGATCGCGGCCTTGCAACATCTATTCAAATCGATTTATGTAACCTCTCGAATGTGACGGTGTGCGGATGCACTCCTGATGCGAGTCGCATTCCACTCTTGTAATACATAAACAGAAACAAGAACGAATACACCGAGGTCGTTGTGCATCTTCGTCAATTTTTCTGTGTTTTAATTATAATCCTCCAATGACCGCTACCGGTTCGTTCGTTATAAAGAAAAAAAAAAATGAATTTCCCAAGGAAGTGTCTATCACACAATGTAATCCCAATTTAATCCGTGTCGATGTGAAAAAATTTCCTGTTTGACGCGTGGTAATTGATCAATTACGCGCCTGGCGATCCCCGAGAGCGGAAAAAACATCACGATTCAACGACGCGATGATGGATCGATGAATTACAAAATTACCATGAATGATAATTAACCGCGTTCCAAACATTCCAACAGAAGATCGGTGTCTGTAACGATTACAAACGCGACCAGCTGCACGACAGACCGTATTAGTTTTTATTTTCGCGTCGTTAAAGGATTTACTGGATAATTACAGGGACACGAAGAGAATGAATGTGTACGATCCTGCGTACGCGTAACGAGACATTGACATTGATTTCTAATCACGGATCGGTGCAACAATCTAACACGACTAATTAAACACGACCTCATAATTCCACATGCATGAAGTCATCGAAACGAGCCGATCGTTTCCGTGTCGGGAATTATTGTTACTCGATCATAGTATCTTTGATCGAGAATCGTTGAACGATATTTGATGAACAAAACCATCGATAATTCAATTCGAATTCAACTGATTTGTCTAAAGTCCGAAGGATATCTAACTAATGATATAATTTCCTATTTCTAGGGAGCTCTAGGTATTTACATGTACCTGCAAGATGTCCAGAAGTCAGACGTGAGCAGCATCTCCTTCCTGCCGATCCTCTCGTTGGTGGTGTTCATCTCGACGTACAGCGTCGGCTGGGGTCCTCTTCCATGGACCGTGATGGGTGAAATGTTCTCCTCTAACGTGAAATCCAAGGCTTCCGGTATCACTGTGTGCATGTGCTGGTTCCTCTCCTTCATCATCACCAAGTACTCCGACGATCTTCAAACCGCGTTCGGTAATTACATGCTCTACTGGGTGTTCGGCGTATTCTGTGTGATCAGCGTCGTGTTCACGATACTGGTGCTGCCGGAAACGAAGGGCAAGAGCCTGCAAGAAATTCAAGACGAGTTGAACGGTGTGAGCCCATCGATGACCGAGTTCGGTAATTCGGGCAAGAAATGAAAGCAGTATTACGGTACGTGGGGATGATATCGAACCTCGTCGTCGTCGATATCACCCCCCTGATACATCGAACCATTTGTTTTCTTCTTTCTAAGCGCATCTTCGTACTGCCAAAGACCGTGATCGCGGTTCTTGATCCTTCCGCGCGAAACGGATTCGAGACGAGTGGACACTGATTTAGGATCGTAGAAACGGGTCGGGGTCGACAACGCTCACCATTTTTAAGTATACACGCGTGTGTACATATTAAGTTGTATGCAGAGAGATGGAAGAAACGAGACAGCTTTGGACGAGTGTCCTTCGATTTTAAGCCCAGTTTCCATTGGTGTTAAGCGTTTAAAGATCGGTAGAATAGTAGAGCTAGAAGAAATAGAACGCTATCGCAATGGAAATTAGGCTTTCAAAGACAGTCATTCAAGTAAATGATACGGAAGGGTTAAAACTGTTGGATTTCGAACAAATTAAAACGACGAAAGATTGGATCGAATTTTCAATAATCGAACGACACTCGGAGAACTGTGATCTGTCCCGTTTTTGATCACGTCCGCGCAATAATAGTTTCTAAATGTATTTATTTCCCGACAAGCCGTAGCCGTTCAACATACGCGATGTTTCCTTTGAAATTAAGAGATTTAAACGATATCTAATAATATAATAACGCCCTTTAAAAAATCGTCGCAAGGTTCAAAGAACAGGTTCTATTGGATCGATCTTATCAGACGGAAAATCAATTCCAAGCTTCGAGATTACGAACAAAACAAAATCGTAACGATAATTCAGATTGATAAGTACGTCATCGAGCGTTCTCTCGTAAAATCGATGATTTGCACGCGGAAATTCCACGGATGCGATCGATCCTTATCTAACAGCGAGCATTGAAAAATGACGCAGTTGGATCTTTTTTTTTTCCTTTTTCGAAGATCATCGCGTGTGTCGAAGCGAGGCAATGTTTCTATGATGTGATTAGGAAGACTAAGTAAAGTTAGGAAACCTAGAAGATACAGACGAAAGAAACTATATTCCTATTTTACACGCGAAGATTCATAGAAAGATATGTTCCTAAGCGAAGAGTTTCTTGACAATTTTGAAAAATAGATGGAATTGATTAGAGTAGTAAACGATGAGAAGCAATATTTTTCTATATCACTGAAATTCACCAAAGTGCATGTTTCAGAAATTAGGAATTCTTTTAGTAATTCCAGGTAATTAATAGTATTCTATGATTCGTTTAATAAACAGGAAATGGTGTGTTCAAACGAGATATAGGAGCTGAATCGACGGTGTATTTTACGTTTCTTCATTCGTTTTTCTAGTTGCTTAGAGATACACTTCGTAGTATTTTTTGTTAAGAACGTTTCCTTATATCCTTCGAGTGCAAAGAGTATTTCACGAGGATCAGTGTATCGTACCTTTAGGTTTAACGCAAGTTTTTAAGCATAATGTTTATTACATTACTATTAGCAACGCGATTTCTTATTCGGAGTATTGTTTCTAGAGTACAGTTTCAATCAAACCGCGAGTGTCCTATCGTTCTTTTCTATTTAAGCGATCCAGCAACGGCTGTACTTATCAAACTCAGCTACGCACCAAAGATCCTAAGTATCCACCTTTAATTAACTCTTTACGAGAAGAGTCCAGAAAACAATTCGTTATCTTAGAAAATAGAAATCTTCAGAAATAGCAAAATGTTTCTTTCTCCGTAAAGGGTTGAAAAGTGTTATTTTTTGGATCAGTGATACACGCGCACACAAGAGTTTTTATGTAGTAATAATACGTAGCGACACAGTTGTATTTCATTTACATTTGCGTTTTGTAATTTTAAAGGATGTGCCAAAAGTGTTGCAAAAATTTCACGAGTATGTTTTAAGGTGTTTGCAGTGGAATGACAAAAGACATATCGATCGAACGTGTGTTCTTTCTTGACATATCTTCGGGGCACAAAGTTACCGCCTAACAATAAATACAATTAGAAAATTAATTCGTTAACACTCGATCTCGTAAATGACGCAACTGCTTCTTTCGAACGCGAAAGAATAATGAAAAAAAGAAGCAGAGGGAAAAAAAAAAGAAATATACGCTGGTCGTACGCGTATACTGATTAACGATCAAAGCTGATTGCATACATATTCATGCACGTATGAAAATAGTTGGAAGATATCAAGGCTGGATATTTTGTTCGTAATGAAAAATATTGTAAACTTCCTGCCAGTGGCGATTGCGAACTTTTTTCAAGAAGTTGTTGCACTTAATATGCAACCACGCGTTTCTTGTTCGTGAATGTATATGCAATTTTGAGAATCGAGCTACACGCTGTAGAATCAACACTTTAATATTCCTTCGTTTCTTCTTTCAAGAGCAATAAGACTCTCGGTTGAGTCGTAAGACGTGAAAATTGAATTCGAATACCCGGTGTATGTCGAATTTCCATTTCTCTGGCAATTTGAATCAAATATAATACAACTGCTCATTTCCTATTTCGTTTTTTCAAACGTGTTTCACGCTGACTATCTCATCATTATAGAAAAATATTCTCTGCTTTATTAATTTCAAATTATCATACGACACGAAACGTGTTTACTATTAGTTGTATATTTCTTTAAAAAATAAAAAGAAAAGAACAATTTTGAACAAAATACAACGCGTACTGTTCGAGTAGCCTTTCGAAGTTATGCACAATTATGATTTTTCACGCGATTGCGGATGATGTAGTTTTTGTATTTGAGAATGATGAGAAATGTTTTGTATACGAAGCAATGAGAGTGTAATAAATAACGTATCAGACTAATCAGGGTACCAAGGAAATCAGTTGTTTGGAAAATTCTAATCAACGATCCTCCAGAGATATAGATATATTTTCCACTTGGATCGTCATCCGGCGCGACTGTACATATTATTATTATTATGCGTTATTAAATAGTATAAGTACGATAAATACTTTTGTACAAACTTGTTATGGCTACATAAATTATAACTTTGAAGTATTATGCACGAAGCATCTTGTGAATTCCATTTCTCAATCCAACTTGAACCTGTCTATCCTATTTCAGTAGTAAAGGTCTACTTTAATCAGACATACGGTCTGAAATTCAAACATGAATGAAATATTCAATCGACGAATGAAAAGAAAAGAAAATCAATATTAATGCGAGTGGAAAACGCGTTATCGAGTGATTTTCATAAACACGTTTTTATATTAGAGTAAATAATAAAGAAACTATAGTTAGAATTCAGAAGTGATCAGATAAAGTGTATAAATATAGTAAAATGTCCAAACGCAGACACGAAAAGGAATCAGAAATGGTAAATTTGTTTATAATCCTCAAAAATATCAGATTTTTATTTTTATTTTATCTCCGAGCTTCATTCTATATTTAATAGGACGAAGAAGACACGAGACTGCAGGAGGAACTACTTCAACTAGTCGAAGTGTTGACCGTAATTATGATTAATTAATTTCTGTGCAATCTTTTTGATTTGCATAACCTATTAATTTTCAAGAATTATAATACATTTTCGTAATGATTCTTGTTCAAGGCAAATGACGAGAACAAGATGTTAGTGTCTTTATGTCAATTGAGACTCTTGATGCAAACATCAACTACCTCTATGACCTCCGTACCGAAACCCCTCAAGTACTTAAAGAACTCCTATGAACCCTTGAAAAATGCCTACAATAAAATCCAAAAGAAAGACGTGCGACGTCAATTAGCAGAAGTGATTAGCGTGTTATCACTGGCGGCAGCACCTGCAGGGTGTAAAGAATGCCTGAAATACTGTCTCGAAGGTGCAGTGAAGAATCCTGGGGAATGGGGTCACGAATATGTAAGGCAATTAGAAAATGAAATAGTCGATGAATGGACGAATTCTCCCGTGAAAGATGAGGATCGTATAAGGTATCTAAAAAAGTCTCGTTAAGATAATTGGAACCTATGATCTAACTGGAATCTAAATTGATGATCTCAGGCAACAGTTAACACCTTTAGCGAAAAGCATCGTCAAGTTCGACATGAAACACAACGCAGAGATACCAGGATGCGATCTATGCTTAGAAATCGATCAGCTAGTATTCCTCAATGATTATTTAGACAGTACGAATTTTGAGAGGGTCTGTCGTTATTTGGAAGGCTGTGCAGCCTACAGGTGAATCACACCAGACATCATTGTCTTTGATCTTTCTATACTGATAAAATTGGGAAATTTTCAGCGAGGACATGGAGAAAAGGCAGATACTTCAAGTAACATTTGGATATTACTTAAGATTCAAAGAATACTGCAAAGCAATGTTAATTGCTCTACAACTTGGAGACTCGAGCCTTGTGCACCAGTGCCTCACTGCATGCCCTGATAATCTCACCCGGAAGCAATTAGCGTTTATACTAGTCAGGCAACGGGTACTATCATTTTCCATATCGCAGGAATTCAAGGATCACGTCTATCTACGAGATAGATTCTAAAGTTAAGGAATATTCTCTTAGGATAGTCCTTTGAAGAAGGAGTACCAGGGCAAGGATGCATCGGATATAGAAACGATCCTAAGCAACAGTCACGTGAATAGTCACTTCCAGGTACTCGCGAGGGAACTCGACATCCTTGAACCCAAACACCCAGACGATATCTACAAAACCTGGCTGGAGACCAGCACGGTCAGAAGGACCGAGCACGACTCTGCCAGAGCGAACTTAGCATCCAGTTTCGTTTCCGGTTTCGTTCATGCTGGATTCGGTCAGGATAAATTAATGGCCAACGCAGCAGATTCTTGGGTTTATAAGAACAAGGTTTGAAACTTGGAAATCCCTCTCTACAAACGTATATTAATCTTAGATCTCTGCGTAGGATCATGGAATGCTGTCGGCTACAGCTTCCTTAGGGTTAATACACATGTGGGACGTGGATGGTGGTCTAGTACCAATCGACAAGTGAATCTCTTATTTTCTTCTTTGAATCATGAAAACTGTAGTTCGCGATCGACGTTTATAATTATTTATTACGTAGGTACCTTTATACGAACGACGACTTCATCAAATCAGGCGCCTTACTCGCTATAGGGTTGGTGAATTGCGGGGTTCGAAACGAATGTGACCCAGCATTAGCTCTTCTAAGCGATTACGTGCTGTCTGATAACGCCACATTAAGGATTGGGGCTGTTTTGGGACTGGGTTTAGCTTATGCTGGTTCGCAGAGGTCCGATGTCACCGAACTTCTAACTGGGGTTCTAGCGGACAAAGCGAGTGCGTTTATTAACCCTCTCGAATTATAATTGAGAAAATTAAATTGAATGATTTCTTGATATTTTTCAGCCACCATGGAAGTGGTATCCCTTGGTGCAATCGCGATGGGGTTAATAAACGTCGGTTCAGCCGATGCTGACATCTCTTCAACGATTCTACAGAAGCTACTAGAGCTAACACCTCAAGAACTATCCAGTACTTATTCCAGGTTGGATAAATAAATAAATTGTACGTATACCTACTGTGAGTTGCTCATTTGCTCCTGTAGATTTCTGCCTCTTTCGTTGGGGATGATCTACATGGGCTGCAGAGATATCATAGATGCTCCATCAGCTGCTCTCGAGGTTTTACCTGATCCCTACAAGCTGGCCTCTCAAACCATGCTGCAGGTGATGTTCATACCAGGAATCATTTATGAATTTTACTGAAATGATTACTTTTAGGTATGTGCGTACGCTGGGACAGGTGATGTGTTGATCGTGCAGGAATTGTTGCGAATTTGTTCAGAACCAGTGAATGGTGAAAATGTATCCAACACCTCTATTAGGACTTCGGTGACCAGTGGCGGTGATCTCCGACCTAGAAATGGCGAATCGTCAGAGAAGAAAACGAAGAAGTCAGAAGAAAAGATGGAAGGATCGAAGTATGATTGTCTGTTGAATTTACCCAATTTATTTACATTCATACGATGCTTCGTGGTTTCAGGGATATTGGATCGTCTCAGGCTATAGCGGCTCTGGGCGTTGCTGCTGTTGGTCTGGGAGAAGGGAAGGAAGACTCGAGGATTTTCGGTCAGGTCTGTCATTTTCTTCTCTTCGAAACTGATGCTATAAACAGGGAAGAAATGATTTTATTTTCTAGATCGGCAGGTACGGTCCCATATCCGCGAGAAGAGCAATGCCACTTGCCCTAGGCTTGTCCTTCCTGTCCAATCCAGACCTATCAGTTTTGGACGTTCTAAATAAATACAGTCATGACAACGATGCTGAAGTGACGAACAACGCGATCTTCGCCCTTGGTCTAGTGGGTGCTGGAACAAATAATGCTCGTCTTGCCACCATGTTGAGACAGCTGGCTTGTTATCACGCGAAGAATCCTCTTCATCTATTCCTCGTTCGAATATCCCAGGGGCTGGTGCATCTTGGAAAAGTAATTCGAGTTAGAAATCCTAATTTCATCAGAAATTTATTATTCATGGTATCCAGGGAACGTTGTCCATATCTCCATTGCGGCATGCCTCCAAAGTCCTTGATCGAACTGCCTTGGCTGGACTGATGGTGGTCCTGGTAGCCTTTTTAGATAATCAGAACCTGATCCTGGCCAAATCTCATTACTTAATGTATTGTCTAGCTCTTGCAATGGAACCGAGATGGTTGGTTACCTTGGATGAAAATTTGCAGGTATGGTTGGAGGTACCGATTAATAGATTCTCTGTAAATTAAAAAATTAGAAAATGATTAATGATAATGATTTGTCAGAGTCTGCCAGTGTCGGTGAGGGTTGGTCACGCCGTGGACATCGTTGGAAAAGCTGGGAATCCTAAATCCATCTCTGCTGGTTACGTTCACACGACTCCAACATTGCTTTCCTATGGAGAAAAGGCTGAGCTTGCTTTAGACGAGTACGAGGCGTTGTCCAATGTACTTGAAGGCTTCATTATTCTTCGAGAGAAGGTGGCTGCTTCGTAAAGTCGATGTTAAAGGAAACGTTGAAGAGAGGGAAATGAATTTTATTTCAAGAGAATAAGAAACATGGTCAGAACTAGGAACCTTAACGCGATACACTGATATCTATGGTATTTTCCAAGCAGTTCTGTAACAAAATAGAGACGAAATTTGTAACGCTTACACGCAATATCTCGTCAAAGACGCGAGCAATCAGCGTATTGTATAGGTTTGCATTTATTTAACTTCAGAGACTAGCGGAAGCAATGTGCTGTATACAACGGAAACATACATCGGTTCGCATTGCACGGTAGAAACAGGTAGAGACAACGGTGCACCATGATCTGACAGTGTCACGGTAGGTTTACTTACGAATCGTCGTAAATAAAATACATCTTAACCCTTTAACTGCGTATGCCGTGTATGTACGTCCAATAAATTAAAAAATTCTAAGTAATAAAAAGAATTTTTGTTTGTCGATCGAGCAAGCCACAGTCAAAGGGTTCAATTAAAAGAGGAATAAAAGAAATAAACGGAACAAGCAAGATATAGAACTAAACGCGAAAAAAACGGAAGAAACGTAATGAAAGTAACCCCCGAACAAGCGATACTTTACAAGAAATTCGAGCTAACCGTGTTTGCTAATGGTAAAAGTCTGCAAATTAAAGATAAATATTGCAGTTTATTGATTTCGATAATGTGTACAAAAGCGGACCACAAGGAAACGAGCAACGATTATTTCTCGTGGATAAGAAATGTGTGCCCTATCTGCTTTTATTTTTTCTCGCCACGAATACGCATAAACGTCTGTGCATATCAGTTTCTTCTGCCTGTTCGTTAACAGGTTCGCAAATACACAAGATCATGGAGCACGTTCCCATATTCTCGTTAACGAAAGCGACGAGAAACTCTCCAGGAAATTGTCGGATGCTCTTGCAAAGAGAAAACTATCGACTTTTCTCGTGTTAAAAAAAAAATGTCCGCTGACATTTACATATATAGGCACATGACTTAGGGTAAGTGGCGAAGTGTAGAGTGAAACACGCGTTTCTCGACTCGTTCTGTCCTTTTTTTTTTTAGTTTTCACGTAAAAACTTAACACTTTGACGGCCGAGTATATCGTAGAACCTATTGTAAGTTTTCTTTTGTATCTAACAACAGATTACTATTTCAAGTTGTGCTGCGAAATGATTAATTTAAATAAGGTAAAGAAAGTAACGCTGGCTGTCAAAGTGTTAACATTAGCTCGATTAAATCCAACTGTACTCACGCTTTTCCTTTCTCTCCCGCAATTATTCAGCTTGCCGTCTGACGCATCCACGCGAAATAGACTGATTATAAAATTCGTCTAATGTTTTAATTCAAGCACGGATATGATTTCCCCTGCCCCGCAGAGCGTTCTTCGTGTATTCGATACAAGCCAGATAAAATGTCCAGACTTATCTTAAATATTATAATTTAACAACAGGCACATTGCCTGTTAACGAGTGTTAAAATTGAGAAATATAGTTTAAAGTCGACGACTCGATGATACATTCATTAATCACGTCACTCGGCAAGCTGATCTTTCTACTTATATCATAAATTTCTCATGTTCCTTATAGTAAAATATAATAATAATATAATCATAATAATAATAGTTAAAACTTAAATCATAATAATGATAGCTCCTATGATAGTAACGCTTTCGTGTTTATAACCCTTTGCGAATATGTGTGTCTTGTGATTCAAGCGAATTCTCAAAAATTGTATATACGTATGTTTTTTATATACCTCACTTCTCCGTACTTTTGTTGCTGCTTCTTTCATCCACCATAACGTACTCTTTTTTTTTTTTTTATTTACAACAACGCACGTGCATTACGAGTATTACCATATGTCCTTTAATAATAATTGCTTTTGAAATATCTTTTTATTCCTTCCTCTAGCGTGCTCCGTCGACGCGTCCACGAGTAAGCTTCTAAGTCACGATAAAGGTTTTCCGTTAAATGGTAAAATTTCAGACAGCTACACCCTTATAATGTTACCCTATCTACCCCGTTCTCTTTTCCCCTCTTCACGGTCGTTAGACTTGAAATTACACGCTAGAAGAATTCTCTCTTCGAAGAAACCGTTCTCTAAAACGGTCACCAAATAGGATTCCACGTACATATACAGATATATGTATCCCCTTTAACTCTATCTCATTGACAATCGAAACACTTGTCGTTAACAACGATAACTTTTATACTCTATCGTCGATCCGATTCGAAATGTTCCTTCCCCTTCATTTTATTCATCATCTTTTAGCAAATCTTGTATGCTAATCGCGTAAACGAATAAACACATTTATGAACAGCAAAGATTCTCCCGCAAGGCGCCCCGAAGTCACAGGAATATTTAATATGAATTTTTATCAACGATCAAGCTGCCTGTGGATTCGTTGCTGAGAGAAGAAAATTGACGACGAATGGCAGTGCTTATCTGTGTGTATGTCTTACTATTTTCTTGTAAATGAACGGCGGTTTTATACGTGTCCTGTGTAATGTGTGTATCTGTGTGTATGTGTAAACGAGCGTGTCGTGTCACTTGAAGATTCTCTATGAATCATTGTGAACGTCAGTGACCAACGACAATCGCACGGTGATATTTGTTCGCGTTTGAAAACCGCCATGGTTCGTCGGTTCTTTGAACACGTGTTCCCTTTTCCATGATATACCTACCACGCTGAAGGAATGTACACTCTATAGCACGGTAACACAGTCGCGACATGATGAAGGTAATATATAAGTAGAACGCGTAACGTGAATATGCTGCTGGTTAGAACAGTCGGGCACGTCTTTTGATTTCGTTACGACGCCACTGGGGTAGTCTGTAGAATTCGGCACGGGTACACTGGAGGACTGCCTCGAACTCCGCATCGGCAAGGTGTCGCTGGAACATAAGAAATTAGCAAAAAAAAAAACGCGATGTGAGTGGCCACTTCCGTCTCAGGCACAGTCCACACTCAGGGTTCCACACTCACGTTCTCTGTTAGAAAATCATTTCTTCCATTCGTACGTATTTTAGGAATTAATTACCTCGAGATTGCAACGATCCACGTCGGCTGGCAGCCTGTAGTTAGTGATGACAAGTAAGTGATAAGGATAGAGTTTCGGTGGTTCGGATGGTGCTGTACCCATATCTGGCAACGATCTCCTTACGTGATGACCCCCGTGGCTTCCGACTACCGAACCTAGCCCACCTGTATACGTGGTGGACGATGGCAGCATCCCACCATCATTCTGCAGCACCGATTCAAATGTTAATTATAATATAATACAGTCTTCTTGCCTGGTGATGAGCGTCAATAGCGGTGCACTTCTCAAAAAGTGTCTCGCACAATTATTAATTTTTGAAAAATTCTAATGCTTTGATAATTTATTTTTTCTTTCAACAGAATTTTAATTTAGAAATCAAATTTTCCTTGTGCGAGAACTTGGCTTTCTTGTGTAGACAGAATCGAGCTTCGCTCGTTATAAAACCCAGCAGTTTTGCAGCAACAAAAGAATCAATGGAACACCGCGTTTATTAATGGCGGGTTACGCAAACAGGTTGAACCGTCACCGGCATCCCGTTTGCTCGTATTCAACAGAGATCAATGTGAGACAGAACTACAGCTAGACTGAAAGACGCGCAATTAAAACTGGCACTCGTTAATTGATTAACCGACGTTGAATCCCGTAGCGAAAATAATGTCGAATTCGTTTTCTTGGAAATGAGAATGATTTGCATAGGGTACGCACAATCTCATGCACGTCCAGTTCAGTTTAGACATAGTTCCGTGTTCATTACGTATGCACAGTTATGCGACAGATGCAGAACTTCGATGCAGAATGTTATGCAGTCAAATCATGTGAACACCGCGGTACATGTCAGTTTCGGTGACGTTATTCGAAACATTGAGCGATTTCTTAATTACACGTATTTATTGTACGGTAATAAGATCGCATCGTGTTATCGTGGTGACAACGAAAAATAAAAGTTGCGTTAAGTCGTGTCAACAGTCAGAAGAAAAAACAAATATGCTACATATAGTCCTCGATGTATCGCGAACAAAAGATCTCGGCATCTAATTTGAGTTTCTCGTTAAATAAATCAAATATGCAAACTTCAAATATCAAGGCAACTAACGAAAAAATAAATCAAAAGATGCAAAAAAATAAAAAAAAAAATAAAAAATGAGTAAATAAATCGCAGCAAATGTACAGCAGTATACATGCGTAAATTAATGTACAAATTTTTATGTACAAACATATCTTACATCGCAATAGCGAGAGCAAACTATAATTCTAATTATGTACAAATTTTGTCGATTAATTGATACGCAGGATGATTCACCTCGTTGTGATTTATTTATTAGATATCGAGGCGAATCATCCTGTATAACAATAGTGAAATACGTTTTTTTTAATTCTACGGATAATTCGACTGCTAAGATTAACGCGTTCATGAAAATGCTGGTTAAATAATTCAAATGCAAAACAAGCTACAAACCATGCTAATTCGCCGGGAGTAGTATGGGGCTGTGGTACATACCAATGCCCGCCGATCCACATCCGTGATGCTGCCTGTTGATACTAAAATTTTGGGAAAAAAATGGGAAAGAAAACCATGTCAAACCATGTTGCACAAACCATTTCGATAATGTTAAGTAACAATCTTTCTGTTGATCGATCGATCGTGTTCCATTCTGGCTGACAGAAAAATACAAAATTATACGAAACAGGCGATTGTTTTACGAATAAAATGAATTTATCAGGAACACGATCGATTCGATACGTGTGTCACTATAAGCGTATTGTTCGATGATTATATTGTACATATGACCTGAATCAATTTCTAAGCTACACGATATGTCTCAGCGAACAAAAATTTGTAATCTCATAAAAGAAACTTAAAAAAGAAAGAAAAAAAAAGGAAAATCATGTTACTGGCGAGAAGGTGATACTGTCACTTGGGCACACTATAAATCCGCTGGTTAACGATCAAACAACCGTATTATGCAATCTAACGATCGTACCACCGTCGATTAATTAAGAAACAGGCTTAATGTTAAAAGAAAAAAGAATAGTGACAGTGTACGATGTAGCAAGGATGCATTAGTAAAGCATGCTGATATTACGAAGCCGTATTATAATCGAAAAATAGTAATCGAGAATAAAATAAAATTATTTCTTTCGTGCTTACGGTACGTTTTGTTATAAGAGACAGGGTCTCAAAGAACGAGGACCATGTTTCAACGTAACGCCTCTACTCATGGATAATTAAAAGTTAATAAAAATTAAAAAAAGAAAACTGAAGCTACACTTGAGTTGCACCGAAGTTGTCGCATTATCTTCACGCCGCGTCGGTGAGCCGATGCTCCTCGCTGATTAGCTCACCGACGCGGCGCGAATTCGTTAGTGCGACAACTTCAGTGCGACAAGTTCGATTCGTGAATACCGTACGAAATTTAAAAAGAATAAGAACGACAACAGAGAACCATGTAATGATAGGTTTCTTTTTTTTCTTTTTTTTTCTTTCTCTGGAGGTTTACTCACTATCTGATTTGCCAGACGAGAAATCAGTGCTGTGCGTCTTGTCTCCCATCCCACTGTACGAATAATCACCCTAGACGACAGAAAAGCGTAAATCTTAGAAACAACCTGAGCTATGTCGATCGATTTAGCTCGACGAGCTAAAACATTGTATATTATATACATGATTTCTTTTTTTTATATAGAAAAGTGTGTATTATAATTCTCTACAGCATTTTCTTGTAAAATCAGCAATAACGGTGCAAAAAAGATTTGGTCGTCGTTTTGTGACGCGGTGCAAGACTTACAGGGAGAGCAGATACAGAACCGCCGGTCGAGGAGAAGGTGTGACTTCGCGGTGCCAGACCGTACCCTGGCTTCGGGATGTGCCGAAGGGAGCTCACAACTGGTTTCAAATAGTCAATCGACAAGATATTACTGATTAGTTTCAACGAGAAATCATTGAGATCGTTCATTCCCATACGAATGCCCAACGTTCGCCAAAACTAGTAGGTTCTTCAAACATTTTGTACATAAAGGTGATTGTCAATTAAAAAAAAGATCTATCCTACCTTTCTTTCATTATTATAAACAACGAGTCGAAACTATCGCGATGATCCTTTTATCAGACAGATACATATGTATATGGAAAAAAAGAAAAGAAAAATTTGCTACTGTGCGACGATGTAAATTCCCTTTTTTCAAATAATTTTTCGGGGTTTCGTATATCGCATCCCCGCGGCAAGAAGGGGTGGAACGTACCCGATATTTAATGTGCACAAGCATTATTCCACGTGAAATTGTGCAGAGATAACGGCGCGTGTAATAACGAAGACCAACAACGATAAGAAAAAATAATACATAAAGTTGATATTTACTGAGTGAATATCCATGCAGTTATCTCCATAAATAAGTATTCTATTATTTTTTTGTTAAAACTTGCTCCATTTCGAGGGGGTAACCAGGTGTCCCGCTCGAAACATTTTTTGAATGGTTCGAAAAAATAATTACTTGGGCGGAATTAAAAATGAAACACCCTGCATATGTATGTACGAGGAAGCCAGCACCTGTGCGTGTAAGTACAATAAAACGTTTACTCTTCAATAAGCTAGAGAGAACAAAAAAGCATGCCTCCCGTGAAGACAAGTCAACGAATCATCATCATCATCATCATCATTATGTTGATCAAACTTTTCCTTTGCCCGACGTCTGCTCTCGATTACTCCCGTCTTCGTTCTAAGACGAATTTCAGACCGGATGAAATTCGTCTGAAAAATTTCAACGCGAAATCGTAATTTTGACTTGAGATCAACGGTAGGTGGAACTGGAAAGTTCTCGGACTCACCGAATGATAGTGCCTAGCGGCGTTTGGAAGAGTGAAGGCGCGTTGAGTACCAACGGGTGGATAGTTTCTGGGAGCCGGGGAACGTGCCGATGACCTCCCAACTGCCGCCCCACGCAAACACAACACAAACACAAAAACACAAAAATAGAGACACGATGATACAAAGGTAGCTAATGTGAGGCTAACGCAGATAGCGGTAATCCTATCGAAATCTCTTCTTAACGACTCAACATTGGAAGATACGCGTTCAAAAGAAAAAAAAAAGAAACGAAAATAAAGATCAACCTACTTAACGTTACAATGTATCCTGCATAAGCATTACAAAATCATATATGCAGTGCTGAAGATGTAATTGTCATGCGACGTAAACAACAAGTGGTACAACGCAAGGTAGAAAGTAAATTATCCCTTTAATTCGCTAATATACGATTATCTTCCAACATTGTAGTAGACATTCCAAAAGTATACATGAGATAGAATATAATGAATATCGGAGCGATGTGTGTTCGTGTGTGATGAACAAGTTGCCAAGAGTGAAGTCAGAATGAAATACCATGCCAGAGATTCTAACAGCTGTCTAAATGACGTACGATCACGAATGAAATGATAATGGGAATCGAATCGATTAGGCTACTCGAGAGGATGGAACCTTCACGCACGCTATAATATCCGGTACTCGTATGGCCAAAGATAAAATCGAAAGATAAAGAAGAGGCAAGCACATCGATGGTATAAATACGGCCGATCACATGCAGAAGCGGAACAATACATCACCTGTTACATACGTTAATGGACGCCCAGTAGCGTGTGCGTTATTTTTTCGAAGGGGGATGCTAAATGCCATTATCTTTAACATTTCATAAACTCTTGCTCGAGTTTATACACGGAGTGTCGTTAATCGAGCTTCACCCTTCCCACTGCTAGATTTCCGTTCCGTTTCACGATAGCAAATTTTTGTTTAGTAATAAGAAAAAGTAAAAAAAAAAAGTATAGGGACGATTTATTTTCATTCACCCGCCCCGCTTTAGGTCACTTTGGAATCTAACATCCGATGGTTACTTTAAAAAACACGGTACAGTGGTATATGTTAGTGTTATGTGCGAACGTGTGGACATGTATGAGATGATTATCACTTATGTTAATGAGACGATCGTGAAATAGCTATCGCTAAATCTCTACAAGATCGTTAAAGCTTACCGTTGTAACTTGGCCCTATGCTCGATCTATAACTGAAACCATCGTCGTCCTCCCAAGGTCTGGCATGATCTATATTCCTAGATGGTGCTGTATAAAAGTAAACGTAAACGTTACAACCGTACACTCTACATAAAACAGAAAAAAAAGAACACACAAAATGTTTAATCGTATTAACATACATGCACCAACTGGACTCTCGTATCGCAGTCTGTAGGTCGGTTCCCTAGCAGCTGATGGTGTCCTGGAGGCATTCCTAGGATCCACGTTAGCAGCCTTGTGTCTCAAATTCTCCCGATCCTTTTCACGATCGTGTAAGAACACCTTCGCTATACCAGTGTCTATTTTACTTAACTCGTCCTGTTCCTTTTGCAGCTTCTCCTCCACCTCTTTTATATACGTTTTGTTGTCAACCTCGTCCTCGTCGTCCGACGCTGGTACACCCTGATTCGCAAACGGAATATCATCGAATCGGTGATTCAATATATATTTATATAAAAGCGAAGAACGATCGAACAGGATACCTTATATGTGTCGGACCATCGTCTACGTCTTTCTGGATCGGTATAAGGATACGGCGGAGCCGGGAAATCGTCCCTTTCGATCGGTGGCTTGGCTCCGGGTGGAGGTTTCATGGCGTCCGGATAATGCGCCAACTCTATTGGCTCGTCATTATCTACTTGACTGGCCGGTGACTTTGGTCTGGTCTCGCTGAGAGCATCGACCAGAGCTCGCATTCCAGATCGGCTACTGCGTCCACCGCTGCTTCTTATCGAACGGGACGCTGAAATAAAATTGGCCGGTACAAGGATTTACCAGCCGTATCGTTCCCCTTCGACGATCCTTCTCTACGTGTACCATGTTTTTCAACAGACGACGGGAAGAAAAATAAACGAATACTTACAGCTAGGTCTATGAAAGTGCGGGCTAGTCGGAGGTTTGTCGTAAGGCTGTATCGGACGTCTCAAGTATCCTTGGCTGGGCGTTTCGGTCAAATACGAGTACGTATAAATCCTAGACACATCCTCGGATGGTCCGCGTCCGTATTCCCGCAATATCAGTCCAGGACTGCCGGTTCGTGCGGGGTAATACTGGGGCAATTAACACGTATATTATCACGGCTAGACTCGTGTTCTATTCAAATGAATCGTAAGCGTCTGTCATACCGCTAACTTCAGCTATTTACTCAGCAAAGGAAAATTTAAAAAAAAAAGAAAAGAAAGAAAAACTCAACGCGCTCAACGCCCTGTCAAGAAACTCGTCGAATATTCACCAAGGGATTCCGAGGCTAACAAGACACGAAGATCTCGCTGCCGAATAGAGGAAGCGTCACTTCCTTTGTCTCTTCTTCCCTTCATTTTCGAAACACTCCAGAAATAGCTCGGAGTTTAGCCGAGGGTTTGCGGGAATACGAATCAATGGGAAACCCTCTGATAGTTTCAAAAGTCCGCGGCTTGTACTTCCAACTATCTAGTAGTACAAACCACAATATCTGAAAACTGGGTTACGCTGGTAAGTGACAGTAAACCAATTGCTCTACCAATGTAACCTACGGTTTAGAACTTTGTTAAATCACAAAGATCTCGAAGTTGAACCGAACTTAAATCGCATACATGATGTGGAGAGGGGAAAATAAGAAAAGAAAATTTTTGGTGTTTCTTGATAGAGCGTGTGTGCTAGGAGATACGTGGCATACCTTGCGACTGAGGCTGCTGTAAGGGCTGCAGAGTGATCCGTTCAGGCTTGGCGTGCGTGACCGCAATGAAAACTATACACAATGACCGTGCGAAAAAAAAGTAAACAACGATTAAGAAAGCAATAATAAAAAAATTAAAAAAATGGTAAAAAATTAAAATAATAAAATCAAATATGGTAAATTTGTTGAAGTATCATAAAATATATATATATATACTTATATGTATACGTTATATATTTGATATCAAATTTCCGGACATCGAAGCGTGCGGCAAATAATACAACGAGACATGTTAAGGAACAAATGCATGGTTAAAAAGCCACATATCGTCGAACAGAAATGGAAACGAAGCTATACACAAAGCTAGTTTTACGTATAGTACTTGTAAAGCTCTAAAAATCTTCTCTACGCTAAATTTGTCTGAACAACCGACACAAAAATGAACCGAGCAGCAAAGAAACAACGCTTCACAACGAACGTGTCGTACAACAAGACAGCCCAGAATAAGCACGATGCAAGCTGAACTTCGGTGGTGTTTCGGGTCACGATTTATTTTTCTTTTCCGAGTCCGACAGCCATACATTCGGTTTACCTTTCACGGCGATTCAATTCAAAATAATGCACGCGGTTTACTCGTCGTTCAATGACGTACGATGCAATTAAACGAAAAACAATGCATTCGGCTGACGATGACAATGAGAGGCGTGCAGACATCGATTTCGTACGACATTGACAATTTGAAACGTATCGAGTGTTTAGGAGCAGCAAATGACCGCGTATGTTAACCACTGTGAAAACGAACATATGTCGCGATTTTGTTAAGCACGAAATTTATCAGAGAGAATCGTGAACACGATGTACAGAGCGTTGTGTAAACGACAGTTTAAAAATGTTCTTCCTCTTATGAAATTACCAACAATTATACAACACCCTGTACATTTCCCTCGAAATACAGCTACCTTTATGATTCACCAACGACAAAATGAGAAATGATGAAAAATTCTACAACAGAGACGATTAACAGCGAATATACACTTGCACGTTATGATACAATCTATTATACAGGATCAATGTACAGTTTCGCCGGTTAAGTAACGAGATTCACGTCCAGGATAAACGTAGATTTATTAGTTCGCGAGGTTCGGTAACAGTCGAGTCCTATTTGACTGCTTCTCGATATGTTCAAAAGTAATCGGCATATCGTCGAGAGTTGAATCGAATATCTTCTCGTACGATCTTACCTGCATTTCCGAGGCGCTGCTGGAAATCCGTTCGGATTCACGATGTTGAGGGGTGTGAGCTTCACCGTGGCCGTTAACGATACCATTCGGACCACTGGGACCCGGTCCGCAGCGAGGATGCCATATGGCTGCACCTTGTAGGTACATTTCCTCCCCGTCACCGAATGGATCGCCGCATTTGGTGCATCGGGCACAAGTTGGATGGAAATGATGATTATCGCCGGCTTGCAAGACTTTCCCGCTTATGTAACGATTGCAGTAGGCACATTTCACCCCGAATTGCTTCTGGTAATCCTTCTCGCAGTAAGGCACCCCATCTCTGTCGAACAGAAGCATCAATACCTTGCTGTTCGATCTCCCTATTCAATCTTTCTCGAATGAAATTATCGAATCTAGGTGAAACGAAACTGGAGTATGTTACAAGAAATTTCTGATTCTAAACTTTCTCTGATTCTAATCTAAAAACGCTGTTAGCGGTTAAAAAAAATTCAAACGTTTAATCGCGTTTCGTTGTTGCATGCAACTTTCGCCAATTTTGTTCCTGCTAATTTCAACGTCTGATGAGCATTTCAAACGGCACGAGTAATTCGAGGCTCGCTATTTTAATCATGAAAGTGGATCTCATTTGCGATGCAATTTTTAACCGAGAAAAATCGACATTGATTTTTCAAGTTTAAGTGTTACTTAAAAGGGTTAACGTGACTGGACATAAATATCGTTTCGAAGTGAATTTTCCTCACTCACTTTCCCATGTACTCGCCATGGAGCACAGTGTCGCAGCTATGGCACTTGAAGCACCATACGTGCCACTGTCGATCAAGAGCGACCAAAGCTTGACCTTCTCGTAATTGGTTTCCGCAACCGGCACAAGCACCGGGGTCGGAGGGCCCGTCTCCGGATCCTCTGGTGGCAGAATTATTACCGACCGGCGTCGAGGCCTCTCGAACCGGGATACCAACGCATCGATGACACAGAGCTTGACCTATAGACAATGCTCGGTTAGTTGAGATTGAACAGATCCGGTCGACGATCCTCGCGGGACCGCTGACGCATTCTGCACCGCTATTGTCTTTTATTCGAACGACCGACCGTCGCGTATCTTCGCGGTTGATTCATCGCGGGCAAGCACTTTCACGCTTGTTTATCCGTTCGATTTGCGTCTCCTTTTAATATATAAATAGCCGGCTGATTTCCAGACTGTCGTCTCGACGACACTGATGAATTTCACACGGTAAACATGTTCGACACGAGAGTTTTTCTTCATTTCCGTGCAACTTATTCCGTGCATTTCACAGGGTTCAAAGGTTATAACAGACTTGTATCTGGATTCTCTAAAAATACTCGGTTTATCGGTGTGCAAGCTCGCGAAGGAGATCGATAGTACGATCGATCAATATTTGCACCGGCTACAATGATCATCCGAGGCGAGAAAAATTGAACTCGCGATAAGTTGGCATATTTTAAACCGTAATCGTTACAAGGACACACGTGCGTAACCTCGTTCGGCTCGACGATGATACACCTAAGTGGTAATTTGCCTTAACGGGTTCACCGGTGCTCTGCGATTCATCCAACAGAATCATCCGTTCCTCCGGGTATAAAACGCAGTTTACGGAAGGGCTTACCTTGAACGAGGGACACCTTCGTCCCTTGGCCCAGCAGAGGTTGCCTGCATCTCTGACAATGGAAACAGTTAGGATGGAAGGCATGTTTGTCACCTGCGGTGACCACGTCGCCTTCGACGTATTCCCCACAACCTGCACACTTTGTCCCCCAACGTTCCCTGTAATCCTGAAAAATAGATGAGGATTCATTTATTTATCGCGTCGCATTATGCGCTCCAAATGATCACGTCCTTCGAAAATTTTTCCATCGTTGCGTGTTCTTGTTTTTCTGTTTATGCATATTTTAATACCTTGGTGCAGTAGTAAGAGCCCTCGCGTGCGAAGAAACCACCCTGCGCTAAGCTGGAGTTGCATTGAGCGCACTTGAAACACCCTATGTGGAAATACTTGTCCTGCACTCGTAGCACCTCCCCGCTGCACTTCTTCTTGCAAGACTGGCAGAACGTTTTACCTGTAACAGAAAATAATCGGTGCGGTATTATGAATACTGCTCGGTTTCTTACTGGTACAACGAGCGATGAACAACTGGCCTAGTTTCAATTTTCGATACACCGAGAGAAACGCAGTCCGTTCTCGATGATCCCCTCATTGTTCTTCGCTTATTTCTTACGCAGTATTGGACTTGTGATTAACGCGACGCTTAATCAAGCGACACGATTAATAAACTATTTTCTACCGCACGGTCTCGCCTCGCGACGCATATTTTTATCGCGATCCGTGAAAAGGGTACGGACTTTTATTGAGGTTAACGCCGTCCCGTCAACCTAATTTATCAATCTTAATTCCAGCAAATTGCGTACACGTTTTTCTCCCACAGCCACGTCATTTATATTCGACTGGCTCATGAATTTCCACGAGAATCCGTTGCCTAATTTTAAACGACTCAATTTTATTCTCAGCGGTTCTTAGACGACTTTCGTATCGTTTAAAACTCGGTTTTTCTTCCTCGCAGCGCTTAGAAAGGATTTTCCGTATCGTCTGGGAAAGAATCCAAGGATTTCGCTCGAGTCCACGCTAATTAATAGCAAATGAACTGGAACGGCTGGCTTGTTTTATACTCGCGCTGTTTGTTTGCAGGAAGCAGTGAAATGAAATAAATTCCTGCTGCGACTCGGCGGAAAGAAGCGGTCTTCGCGCTAATTGGAACGAGTATCAATTTCTATCTAATAAGAAACTTGGATCAAAGAAACCTTCCAGACAGAAATTATTCGCAATTATGCGGCTACCTGTTGTTCCATTCCCGCGCTATGAATATTTGATTCGAAAGTTCGGTGTGATACGCGGTCTAGGTTAATCAATCGAGTTTGGCCTAATCGACAGGCGTTTCACGCGTCGCTCGAATATGGCGTGTTACACGCGTAATCCGGTCGCCGATGGAACTTAAAGCGTGACTCAAAGATACCTGGTTGCTTAGTCTGCTTAGCGGTTACCGTACAAGAGAAAAAAAGAAGAAAGAAACAGGCCATTCGAGCACTTGTCAGAGTGCACTTAAATACTCGCTAGCCGTCCGGTGTGCATCGAATCCAGGTGAAGGTCTCTTTCAGCCGAGTTCGATGCGGTCGAACCAGGTGTAGCAGACTCGGATACCTGAATTTTCAACGCACCGACTCGTTCGCGAGAATGAAGAGAGAAAAAAGAAACACAAGCAGAGGAACATCCTCGGCAACGATTTATTACCGGTTGTCGGACAGTGAAAAAGCGACGCGAGACGCACGCGAGTCCTGCTACCGACAATTTCGCGATCAAATTGTTGTCGCGATTCATCGTCGCGATTAAATCGTTCACCGAGCCACGAACGACGTTTTTGTCCAGGTAATTTCCGACGTTGCCCGCTTTCCACGCGGTTAATGGACCTTTCGGCCCGCTTTTCAATTATCTCGAATAAAAACGAAGCCGTCTTTTTTGCGTTAATTGATGGCCTGCTTGGAGTATCCTTACCGACGATTCTTGGTGAATTGTTTCATCCACGTCGGAGAACAATTAATCATTTGAAATTCGAAGAAAATTTTGCTGAATTTATTCAAACGTGCCTCGATTCGCCGATGAAACTTTGACCGAATGTCCCGATGGGAAAATGGAACGATCGGTACCGGATGACAAAGCGGAATCATAAATTGCATAATGTTCGTATGCTACGACCAACTTGTTCCACGTGTGACCGCGGCAGCTGTTGCACGCGTTCGATTGCGCGAACCTGCCGTTTGTAAAAGTTAAAAGTCGTTGACACCAGATTGAGTCTTTGAACTCGTGAAAGTCTTAACGAACCCGGTTGGACGTGTACTCCATTGCGAAACGACGAAAATAAAGTGATAAGTACTATGTCCTCTGGACGAAGAGATCCTTTGAGTAGAACCAACTTAGGGTACTTGAAACGATAGAATCTTCTAACATACTAATTTTTTAAATGCCGAGTTGTCAGGTTAACGACAGAGTACAATACTAAGTTCTCCAAACGATAGTATCCATTTATTACATCGCGTTTGTCGTAATTCAAACTTGTCAAGCCATTAACGTAACAGCATGTCCTGTTAAGATCCAAAGATAGAATTCGTCGACGTATCGCCGTGTCGTTTAACGAGCTAAATGAAAATCTCTGACGTGGCAGAATGTTTTTCCATCGAGCAAAGCTGAATGCTCGTAATGATACGTTCCTTCGCCACGGGAATTATCTTGGGAGACAAAGACTGAAATAACAGCCTTTCAACTTACTAGCGTCCTCGGTTATGCAACAATTGACTCTCTTTTTTTATATCATCTTTTCCATTTCTTATTTCATATATCCGGTTCTCGGTGATACACGATTACGAGCTACGATCTTTCTTCCATAGGAAACTTTAAAGGAAATAACAGAACGATCTTAACGCGACACGTTCTAGCAACCCCGCTGACTCATGCTACAACTTTTTCCCCTTTATTCTCAGCTACCTCGCGGTGAAATGGGCATTCCTTTCACGCCTTTGGAAAACGAGACGATTTTCCACGGTTGCCCATGATAGCTTTACGATTCAGTCTAGTAATCCCGATGCCGACCGCACCGTTCGAACCGAGTTGAATAAAATTCCTAACAAGCGTTGCACCGTTCCTGAAATAGGTATACTTTTGAGAAAACTCTTCTGCCTAACCCGTTGCTGTTTCTAGGACAATTTTAGAACGTTCGAAGCGTGCCCGACCGGCGCCAGGGAGTCAAAGACAACGGCTTTCAACTCTAATTCAATGATTCAACTAGAAGGGTTCGACGATAAACGTGCTCGTTCCATTAAGTTATCAGTTGTTTTGAACGTAAAGTCACTTTCCCTCCGGTGCGTCTATAAATTACAGCCTATCTGCTAGTTACGATATTGTTACATGCGAAAAAGAAGATCGAAGGAAAGCCTGGGGGAAACACTTGTCCCGAGACAAAGTCGATCGATTTTCCATTATGCAAATAATTTTATTTCCGTCCAGAATCGCGAGAAAAACAATTAACGCGATTCGTTATCGAGCGGAATGGACTGGAGGTAATTAAGGTAATTAAGTTTCTTTCCTGTCGAGGAACACGATCTAGCTCGCGATACGATTCTGACATTCGCGTCGATGCGATCATCGGGACGAAAATACGAGATGATTCACAGGTAAGATCGCGAGGATTGAATCGCGCGATGCTCCAAAGGTGAAAGAGACGAGCGCTCTCGTTTCACGGAACTATAAATTAAGTTTCCCCGCTCGTCTAATTTAGCCACGTTCAAACGCCATGTTTCACGGTGAATTAGACGATCGTTGATAAAGTAGTCGAGATAATATCGTTAGATCTTATATCATGAGAAAGAGCGAGCTGAAGATTTATCGAAGCACTGATTAGATTAAACTTTAGACGATATAATTGAAATCGACTTTTGCCAATGTCTCGACCAATGGCAATTTATCTGAATTGCTTATGATAGAAGGAGAAATCATTTTTAGTCCATCGAATTTCGTGCTTTTAGAGGACGGTTCGCGTCGCTTTAAAAATACGCGATGACATCAGACCGACTCGAGCTGTTCGTGTATTTAACGTCATCGTGTACCGTGCGTTGTCACGTGAGTTTAAAAAGCGACCAGTACCCACTCCTATATTCCCCGGCTACGTTAATTGCCTATTGAAAATCGATACCAAACGATTCGCGACCGTCTGGCCGGAGTAAAGAACGCTTTGATTCCACCCACCGTCTACCTGGATAACGATCTTCGGAAAATTATTTACCGAGGTTTTTCTTTAGTAATCGAATGCCATTCCCGATAGGAAAGTCTTGATTTTTCGAGTAAGGAAAATCGATAAGACTACTCGTCTGTGCCACGATTTATAGCGAATTTCGATCGAATCGCTTATGGGAATCGCGGGTTACACTTGGGAGATTTGATTACCCTTTAGTTACACCTATCAACTTACAATTGCAATGAATATTGGGATCCGTACTTCCTAGAGTCAGAAAGGTAGATAGAGCATAACGGTATATGAATTTGCTCGAAGATAATTGCCCCATCGACGTCATTAGAAGATGTCACACCTTTGTGTACATACCTGGCGGATCATTGACCTTGTTACTCGTAATGCAGCACGGATTCTCGATCATCTGTGCGATCTTGCACGCGTACTACAATGGGTATTGTCATCGCAGTCTACATGAATTCATGGCAATCGCGTTTGATCTAATGTTTCATTGAAACGTCACCTCTTGCATCACAATAGTATCATTAACTCTATGAAACAGAACGGTGCTTCGAAAATGAAAATTATCGAATCGTAGAGTATTTGTGATTTACATGTTCATGGAGAAGACGGTCATTCTACTTTGCTGCGTTTCGCAATCGCGGATACGTGTGCCACTTCCAGAGACACGGTAGCTTCAATAATCCTTTGTAAAATTCTTGCCACGGAATTCAACGCGATAATCGGGTAGAAACCGGTAGGAGTGTTCGTAGGAGGATCTCGGAATCTTTAACGAACGATGATAAAGCGGAACCAACGTCGACAGCCGGACAATCGTGACACCCACGAGCCCACTTGTGTGTATGAAATTTTTCTACCTCCTCCAGAATCTTTTCGACGAGTGCTCTTCGGACGGTTCAAACTCCGGACAATCGTGATTTAGTGGAATTTCTCAGGCGAGAAGTCAAGATTCGAGCACGTTTGAAGAAAAAAAATAAGAATGTTATATAATTGAGCTACCACCCACACGGATCGTCCTACATTCAACGAAACCCCGACACGTTAATATGATTCATAAGCTCGTCTAAATGGGATGTGGCGAAACGGTGTTTCCAGGTTACCTAAAATCCCTACTGAAATCCCTTGTTATTAAGATCCCAAAGTTCAACGAACTGCTGTATCATTTACCCGGAATTGCTCCCTAGATTATTCCCCGTCGTCCTATAATGCGAATATAGCGGGAACTTGGCGATAAAACAGTGAAATGTTGTATCCATAAGCGAATACCCAGCTGCTACGAAAGCCGACTTGAACTATATGATTCTTTATCAAATCAATTTTTATGGAAGAGCAACATTTATTTGTGGATGAATGAAATGTTCACACGAATATGATCCAATCTATTTTTTCTTTCAACACGGATTCCATGATACTGATAAGACCCAGCTGATTTAATTCATTCGTGCGTGTTTATATTTCTGCTGTTTTTCATGAACGAACCTGAAAGTGGGTCGCACGAACGGCACTCCAGAGCCTCGTGACACGAGAAACTTAATTAATCCTCGAGGGTTGTGCTGGCGAATTTCGCGGAAAACAATGAGAATAATTTTCTTTCGTGAAAAATTTTCATTTATTAATAAAGTATCATGATGCATGAAACCATTGAAAACTACGAAGATCTCTGAATCGAACGGAAACGAACCGGTTTCGTTGGTTCACGATTCAAACACGGTGATAATTCACCATCGAGCAACCCGTTCCACATACGATCCTCTCCGCTTCGGTATGTTAATATGATTCATAAGTGGTCTAAATAGGATGTCGCAAAGTGGGGTCAAACGCGACGACCCTTGGAGTGACCGGTGCTTTTCTCGCGATGCACTCTGGGTCACAGGAGAATCACTGATCGAATCCGTCTAACAGATGTTTACCAATCACGGTTAATAATCGGCAAACCGTTTTGCGCATGAATGAAATTTATACCCGCAGCTGCTCACGAAAACGTTCCAACAGTTGTGAATTATTAAAAAATCTTTCAAACACGACGGAATATTTGGCAACAATTAACACGTTTACCACGCAAACGCGAGCTGACCAATAATATCCTAACTGAATTACAAGGTGCGAATAAATACATTTAGCACTCTACTGTCAAGAAGCTATTAGGAAAATAAAAAGAATCAAGTCTACGATATATTTCGTTTGCAATTACGAATCGACCGAGATTCTAGCGGTCTCTTATCAACGCCTAGTCTTAGAATAGCTCATTTTCTTATCAACAGATTTTTGCACAGTCTATATAACAGTGTATCTACGGTGTACCATTAGAAAATAAAAAGAACCGTCTTATGTTATTTTCTTATTAATATCTAATTTCAAAATAGAATAATAAGGAAAGGATTGAACGTAGAATAAAGCTCCAAGTTATATCTTGAACAATTAATTCACCGCAAACGATAATCGTCCGTTGCTTATGCAACAGGATGCAACGTGGCTTTTGTATGCAATTAATTGCATTACAATCCTGCTACAACTATTTGCCGATGTATCGAACGGGAAACGAGCGAAGAATTGAATTACAAAGTGGTTGGCTCGTACACAACGATCGCTTGGCTTTCATCGAACCGTTGCCAAGTTATTAGCGAAACGATATTCAGATAATTACGATTCATGGTAGAAAAATTCACGGTTATTTCGATCGGTGACTAAAAAATTATTATATGCACTTCGTTTCTTCTAGATCAAAACGATCCTGCATCGTCATAAAAGAGTCAAAAGCAACTGTTAACTGTTTTTATCATCGTTGACCGAGAAAATGACATGATTTATGTAACGACTTAATAAATAGACGCGAACATGTAAAGTCATCACCGGACGTTCTACAAACAACGAAAAAATCCATCGTCGATGATTTTCATCGGCGATCGTTCTGTTTGAAAATTCATCGATCGTGGTTCGAACAGTCACGTTCTTTTTGCTGGTCGTGTCACGAACAACGGTGGAAAATCGTGACGAGCCTCTTCCCGAAGGAAACCAGAGGAAAAAGAAGAAAGTACGACATCGTTGAACTTTTTCGCGTGTTACTCGAGCATCGAAGAGAAGTTAAAGAGACTTTCGACCCGATACCATCGTTTCTTTCTCTCTATAAAGCTATTTGCTATTTGCCGACTTATCTAATCGCATCGTCGCTATCTCGAACGTTCCGTTGTTGTCGATGTAAAATTTAATGTTGTCTTTCGAAAATAAAACCTCGACAACGTTATCTGCTAACAACGGAGTGATGTCATCCTACAATCCGGGAACGTTACGGTGCTTTCACGATTTCATTGCATATCGGCGACGCTAAATTTGCATAAAATCCAAGGCTTCCTTGCAGTGTCCCACGGTTGACTATAAAACAAAAGCTTGAACGTGAAAATTAATCAACCGTATGTTGATTAATCGTTACGTCCGACTACGTAAGTTCGCTTCTACCGTGACGCGTTATCGGAGCATTTTATCGTCGTCAACGAACCCGGTATTAAACATTTAAATATTTTACAATTTAATCTACCGATACCTCTGAAAAATATTTCACGATAAACGAGTACTTATTCCAAGAACCTTAATCGCACTCGTTTCCTTTTGATAGGCTGTAACGAGGAGAAAATTACAGGTGATATGAAAGGCGACTTTTCGCAAAAATCATGAATAACAAGTTACTCGTTTCAACTGAAATGTCTCGTTATTTCTGCCGAATCATCGGGCACGATGGTACCGCCTATTGTTACCCAAGTAATGACGACAGTTCGTTATACGAAAACACCCTTACCTCTCTTCAGTTGCTTTTGCTTATGCTCCTGGTCCTTCTTGACCCCGTTACTTTCACTCGCTATAAAACTCTCGCTCGTCTTCGACTTCATTATTCCTGCCGGTCGCGACGATTGCGTAATGCTCGCCGCAAGGCGGTCTACTACACCTTTTTCTCTGCTTCTCTCCTTTTACACTCGTGATAAGATAATAAAAACGTATATCGAATAGAATCTCTTATAAACGTCGAACCACTTTCCAGAGAGAGAGAAAAAGAATGAATAATTTTCACGAAGTCACTTGAATTGAAATTTTTATGGGAAAGTACATCACCACACTGTGAGATTCGAATGAATGTAAGTAGGAAGTGATCGATCACTATGGCTGCATTGAAACAACGATCGAACCGGAGACGATACCGACAGCACGAACGCCGATCGCAGACTGACTACAGCCGTGCGGTCGTGCGTCGAGTTCCGTACGTCAAGCAGTCACCATTCTATTGATGCTTATACTTTTTATGCTCGTTTCTACTATAATCACGCGTGTACTTTGTACATGGTGCTCTCGGAATTGGGGTTTCATGAAAAAATAATAAAATTCGAGGTCGATAATTAATCCGCTGCACCCGTTGCACTTGTTGCACTTTGGTGCATCTGGGGAGATTTGGAGCGGAAACGCTGCAATTTCACACGACTACTCTAATTAATTAATTGCACCAATTTGACTAAAAATGCTGTGATTTGATTGGTGACCACCTCACCAATTAGTAAGAATCGTCATAAACGAAGAGCTTGTTCGTAAAGAAGGTTCTTCGGAAGATAAAACGAAAGGAGTTGGTGAGATGAAACGAAGCGTTTGATTGGAAACAGATTACACGCGTGTAATGGAAAACCTATTAATGGAACACAAGCTGGTTTCAATCAAGTATATTTAGTTGCGCGAGATACCTTTCAGGTTGTTTCTCTTGAAATAACTCGCGGTAACTGTTCGTAAGATAAAGTAATTATGTCGTTTAGAGAAGAAACACAGTTAATGACCGCAACAGATGTTATACACCGAGGTTGATCCGTTGGATACAGCATACTTAATTATCTTGTTTAACTGATGAAGATAAAAACATCGTTGTGTGCGTCTGATTTTGTTAATCGAAACAAAACAATGCGATCTTTCAGAGCGATCGGACATCTCTGAATGGACGAACGTAATGTAACAAAGTTAATTAAAACGAGCGTACTATTGGAATAGTTGCGTTTCAGCCTATCCGGTGAAAGTACATCGCGTTCACGGTGTATTAGCAAAAATACGATAACTTTTACCGCTATCAATTAACTAAGGTATATAGAGTAGGGTAATGTTCCTACGCGGTTCTCATTCACGTTTCTCGGTACTGTTTATAAGATCAAGTCACGTACAAATGCAACTGAATTCTGCGGAGCCAAGGAACGTGGTCGTTTGGTCGAGGGCTAACAAAACGAACACCCAAGAAGCAGCATAAATTTCTGTTTACCCTTCTCGTCGAAAGAACAATCGACAATTTTCTTAGCTGGCGGGCAGAAAGAACGAGGCAAATTCTTCAGTTATTTGGAAAGTTAAACGCGCGGCTACTTTCTCGTCGCTTCGTTTCACCTGAACGGAACAATTCTCCTTTCGATAACGAAATTATTGCCTCTCGGTACGAGGACGCGATTTATTATCTTTGACATCAATTGCACGAGACTGTGTTATTACGTTACAAGATCTACGAACATCGAGAGGGAATTCTACACCAACCATGCCCTATCTTCTTTCAAATAATTCTGGTATGCCTTACAAGCACGTATTAGATCTTGTTAATAAATACCTTGGAATCAAAGACATTATTTACGCAACAGGATTCGAAAAGCAAGGTACTTTGCTCCGGATCGGTGAGAAGAAACTTTATCCCCTACGTGTTCGAATTTTTATACAATTCATATGATTCTGCGATTGAAATTCTTTTCGAGAAACGCGTTTCCTTTTCAAATAGCCAGCTCATTCGTGCGAAATTTAAACCACGTTAAACCCTCCGGATTAATATTAATTCAAAGCGGAATACTGAAACGTTCCGCCTGTTTCGCCGCTGATTAACTCGTTAAAGGCCAGCGGTAAACTCAAAATTAAAGCAGAAAGAAAGCCACGCCGGGTTCCCTTGATCGCTTTACTTATCTTATCAGCGGAACAAGTTGAACGCGACAAAACGAGAGCACAGGAAGGATTGCGGTCACCGGACACCTTCGAAGTTAAACGGATTGACGTCTTATGCAATCATTCGGTTCGCGTGTCCAATTCACCTAGATGTTACGAATCATGCCAGTCGAGCTTGAAACCGTTACGGTGCAAAGTTTTTTTGCAATCAGGAACGAACGATAAGTTATCGAGTAATTGCTTTTGGTTCGAAGAGGTGGGGAGAAGTTTAGTAGCCTAATGGTCGTTAAAAGCGCGGCTTTTCCATAACGACAAGTGCTCTTCAGATAAGAAACTCGCCTTAAAAAGGTTGTACGTGATTCAGTCACGCAGGTATTGACACTCGACGCGCATCCGTGACTATCTCGTCTTATTTTTCCCTCTCGTTTCGCGTTTCTCTGATTCGATGCACGGATACGCGGCCGTCACGCATTCCTGATCGCGTGTTGATCGATCACGCTCCAACGAATCTCTCCACGTGCTCCTTTTTATTCCACAATGAAAAAAAGAGCATCGTTGGATGAGCTTGTGTTCTTTTTTTTTGCATAGAAATCGCGTCCCATTTATTTTATCTAATTTTATTCAATCTGAGCCTGAGCGAATCGAGCCTTATAATATCGGAGAAGCAAGAAATGGTATTTAAATTTTCCTCTCTTTCAGATAGGAGACCACAGAAGAAGGAAACAAAAATGAATATTCATACGTAACTCTATATACTTATCGGATAATGGACAATATTTCGTCGCATTTCACAGATTATGCAACTTCAGAGTTACGTTACATCCACTCTGGAGACTTCCTCGAAGGACCTCCAGCTACTAGTAACCCGAATACAGTAGGTAGGTGAAATATCGATTCGCAAGACATTGGAGAGAAAGGACAACGGATTTGAGCGAGTGCCTTTTGCCAGAAGGAAACGGGGGTATTCTTTAGAATCTCTAGCTTCCAGCTACCACCGCGAAGGATAAATATTTCATAGAATTTCTATTCAATCTTATAATCGAGTCGTGCGGTATTACAGGCTACTCGCATACCTCGCTTACTTCCAATATAACTTATCTATACACGAAGACCTTGCGCAAAATATTCCTGGATTTCATTCCACGGTCTCTACGTTTTCCTTCAAACAGAATACTTCGTTCTGCACGCGGTCTACGTTAACGATAAGATCTCGGGTACGAAGTTTTCTAAACAGCAGACTGCTAGTTAGCGAGCACGTTACAAAAGGGTACGGCCACTGCAATTTCGATGCATTTCACTCGACGGGATTGTCCCTTCCGGTTACTAGCGCAGCGTGAATCGAATGCAAGGGGGGGGTGGTATCGATCTGCACCGCTTGCAGTTTCACTGAAAGCCGGCAACGGAGTTAACGACGTCGCTTTGAGGGTGAGACCCTTGTACCAAATGTATGTCAATATACAAGGGTCGCAGAAAAATGAAAAGAAACGGAAAAATCAATACGATTCGTCGATTGTATTATTTAGAGTACGTCTGACGCTGTTCGATTACGCACACGGTACTCTAATAACGGGCTTTGCCTCCGCGAAGAGTTCAACCTTCATTCCGCGTTATTAAAATACTATTTAGAAATTATTTAACCGCGAATGCAACAGCTTATTTACCGTTTCATATAATGGAGCCACTGTTGCATTCGGGTTGAAGTATGTGATGAAATTTGTGAATGTATAAATACCGAGCATAATTTGCTGCGGAGGAGATAATACAGCGATTATACTCGAGGGGAGTAAATATTTAGAAGCGATGGACGACATATGGCGCCATGTCTGAAAACCGGATTATTCGACTCTCAATTGTTACCAGATTGATAATAGATCGTGTTTGACACCCATCGAATACGATTGAATATTAACTCGTTAATAACTAAATGAATCGTTAGTAGAATGAAGAAAAGTGTCGTGCGGAGCACGGTAAGCTGCAGTGCATCGTGCAACTCGCGTTGCAGTACGTAGCTACTCGTCTGAACGTTGCGTGCGTATTGAAGCGCACGCACACGGCACATCGTGGCAAGGTACGGTTGCGTGGGTAGAACGCATAATTGCGAGAGCGAATTTACGAGCGTGGCGTCCTCAGATACCGTCCTGAAATTGCTGGTACACGTACACCGGGACCAAGCGCACGAGACGTTCGATTCGTGTTGATATTTCATAGGATTAAGGGACAATGGCTAGGGATTTTTACGCGAACCCGGCAATTTTATATATCCTCCGAGTACACGCCTACGTATATGTAACTCCCTACATAAGAATTAACGTTTGTATTCTAAACACGCGAGATTACGCAACGGTTATGACACGTTGAAAAGGCTCGAGGACGGTGCACGATGCACCGTATCGTTTCCACCTCTGTTAAATCAATGAAACTCGCGACAAAAAGGACGACGAACGGAGGAAAAAAAAATCGAAGGTCTGCTTAGAGAGAAGTTGTAAAGGTGGCAGCCCTAGGGCGAAGATCGAATGCAAGCCACAGCTTCGCTCGAGAATGCAGGTCACGCTTAAATAGCGCGAAAACAAAATGAACAGGAAAAACAGTCGGCAGAGGTACTGTACGTGTGTTAGGCTCACCCTAGGAAACGTCAAACCAATGGTTCCACCTATTTATAGCCCCTTCGAGTGAGTTTAGTTATACGATCCTTTCGAAAAACATTGCTCGTCACGAGGAAAAGACCGTGAAAATTAGGCGGAAATTGCACGATATACAAGGGCGTACCCCACTAACACATACTTTTAAGACTCTTTGGCAAGTGCAAGCACACAAACCACGCACTAACACAGTCAAAGCCGACAAGCGTAGTCACGGAGAGAGAGAAAAGCTAGCCGGCATTCACCACTTGGTTTCCGCCTTTTACTCACCCATCTTTACGGCTGACACGAGTTCCGATGCTTTTGATGGCGGTTCGTCGCAGACGATGAGTTACACGATCATATCACACCACTGGTCACGAATAGAAACAACCCAGCCACGGGATTTCACTTAAGAAATCGCGGTAAATGCAAGAGACGTTCTTACCACTAAACGCTCGACGTCCGACATTTTAGTGGCGACCGAGTGCTACACTGCGCATGCGCGTGGATTGTTACATTACCGTATCTAGTAAATTTATTGCCCTCTTCTAAGTTTCCAACAAAATTTTTGAAAAATTATTTAAAATTGTATATTGCATTTGTATATTGCAATACAAATTATTTAAAATTGTATACTGTGCATGCACGTGGATTGTTACATTACCGTATCTAGTAAGTC